TATTATTTTCATAAACTGTGAAAAAAATCATACTTAATTAGGACATAATTAAAAAAAAAAACTGGTTTTATACTCCCGTTTGCTTAAAATATTAAATGTTATATCACTTACATTTGGAATGAATGTGTTTTATTTCATTAACCAATGTTTGAAATGAATTGAATGTTTATTTTTTAATTCTTTTGTTATTTTTTTCCCTTTCCCATTCTTCTGTTTAATTCAATTTATTATATTTGCAAGAGGTTTGGTAGTGAGAATTGTGTTACGTGAATTTTATAGATAGACTTTTATATAGATAGACTTTTATTTGCTACTAAAATATATCAAAAATCATTAAAGAAATTGATAAGAGAAAAAAATAAAAATATCAATATTTATTGATGGAATTTCAGAAAAGTAGTGAAAAAACGTCCAAACCTTAAAATTCAATAGGAAAAAAATGTCAACATTCCAAATAAGTGAAATTTTAAGTGTTATTATAACTTACCATTATAAAAATTTTCTTCGAAGCTGTTTTTGAATTATTGTATTTTTTTTCATCTTTAAACTCTTGCCTATATAAAAAAAAACATTAAATTTTTATAATACGTTTTAAAGTCAATTACTCTACAGTTAAATGTTATTTTTTAAGTCGATTATTTATTAGTTTTACGAAAAATTGTTAACATACAAAATATATTTTATAAATAAATCAAACAATTTATTTTAATTTTAAAACTTAAAGAGAGAAATCACAATTTTTTTCTACAAATTTCTAACCTTCATATATGGTGAAGAATTGGACTGTAAAAATAATATTTATAACTTGTATGATGAGATAATTATATTTATATGAAAGATGGTAATTTGTTGTAGTCCACTAAATTGAGTGGGTTTATTCAGTTTTGTTTCGGTTTTATGATGATATCCACAATCTTAAAAGTTGACATTTGTAGAAACCAAAAACATAAGCTGGTTGTTGTGTTGTGTGAGGTTATTTTGAGGTTAGGTTTTCTCTCTCTCTTTTTTTTTCAAATAAAATTGATACACATGTAAATGCGTGGAAGAGGGTGTGTTTGCTAAGCTCCACTTTACATGGACCAGGGCAAGCAAAATCAAACGCGCTTTTTCTCAGAACAATGCTTCTGATTAACGTTTTACGTCTAATGGATAACAACAATGCCATACCATAATCAATTTCGTAGATATTTTCCCATTTTCTTCTTTGCTTATGAAGGCTATGTTTAGAAAGTAATTTCGTTACAAAATATGATTTATATCTGATAAAGTTAGACTCCTCAAAATCTAAAAGATTAATGTATTTTACGTATTTTTATTAATATAAAATACATTTTAGGTTCGTTTTTATATAACAAAAAATGAAAAAAGCATTTTTATTTAGTTAGTTGAATTATAAAATCACAAATTTTATTAATAAATTTAGAAAAAAAAACAAATATTTATAAATAGGTGATATAATCTATAATGTTAAATACTTGCGGTAAAAATCTCCTTATAACTTACACAAATATATTATCTCCAAATGAGTTCGTATCTCAAATTTTACAAAAATTATTAAAAAAAAAAGAAAATATGGTTTAAGTTGTAAAATAATTTATATACGTAAAGTAAACAAATTAATAAAATTTGGAATAAAATAAAATAAAATCAAAACATACGATCTAGCCAATTTTTTTATATGACATTTTGATGTGAAGGAGTTTGATTTTAAAACTAGTTTGAAAGGCATTTAAAAATAATCAACTCAATTATTCGAGTAATGAAGGCTCTCTTTATTGAAATTTGGACTCAAATGAAGTCTAATTTCTTTATAAGACTAACATTTAATGTTGGACTAAAGATAAGTCAAACTAAAACTTAAATTATATACACCTTTGCTATCTTTATCTTTCTCTAACCAAGTTTTGACTTTTATTCATTTATCATGATTAATGTTTTATAAATTAAGTACAAAATTAATAATAATAAAATTTAATTATTTTATTTTTCATATTATATTTTTTCTTTATTAAAAATAATAATAATAGCAACAATAATAAAAACCATTATCACTTTTCTTTAATTTTTTCATATAATTCCCTACTTAGTAACACATTTTTCTTTTTCATCTTTCTATTTTCACACTTTTACACTTTTTTTCTCTCACATTTCTATCTCCCACTTCATATTTTTCTCCATCAAACTCTACTTTTTAACTTTTACATTTCTCCATTATATGGTTTTCTTTTACAATTTCACCTTTGTATAGCATAAAAGTTATAAATATTTTTGTTTTTTTTCCTTATGTTGAAGATATGAAGTATTAAAAATCAAAAGATAATAAATAAAAAATAAAAAATACCCACAATATATTTTAAAGTGAAAAAAAAGTAAATTATATAATTTTGTTATTATTTTTATTCATTATGATAACATACTAATAGTATATAAATTATGAAATGTTGATATAATTTTTTTATTTACTAATAATTAGTTAAATATTTAATGATATTCAATTTTGAAGTTAAAATATATAAAAATAAAATAAGGTTGAATTTTAAAGCTGTTTAAAATAAAAATTCTATACTTATCTTTTAATAGAAAAAGAGATAAATAATATATAAACTATAATTTAACAAAATTATTTTTAATAAATAATGTTGAAAGGTTGTATACTATAGTTGAATTGTATTAAAAATTAATGGGAACTAGGAAATTAGATATATATTATTTGGTTGATAGATTGATTAAATTTATTTCCACTGCTTCAGTAAAATATATATTTTCAATTATAAAGATCATTAAAACAAAATTTTAAAATAAGATGTAAATTATTTTTCTGTCAATTACATAATTATTTATATTTAAAAAAATTACTAGAAAATTCGATTCAGGTATTATAATTTGGGTAAAATATAGTTTTTACACAGTAACTATGTCAATTTATTTATATTTAATACAATTCAAATATTTTGTTTGATTTATATACAATTTTAATCGTTTCGTTTTCCCACAGTAACTACGACAAAATTTTATATTTAATAATCATTCAAATATTTTGTTTGATTTATATATAATTTCAATTATTCCGTTAATTCTTTAACAGTCACCATTAACAAAATTAGGTTGTCTTACATCGTATAAATGATTAAATAATGCGTATATATTAATGTATATGATTTTAATTATAAAAAAATCCAATTTCCCAAAATAATCATGACTAACCGTTGTCCATTATTAGAGTTGTCATCTTGGGGCAGATTTTGGGTATCTTCGTTAGAGGTGCTACGTACACCAAAACCGTATTCATATACTATATAAAACCAAACATATTAACATTTATGCATTTCTAAAAAAATAATTATTTTAAACATAAAAAATTTATAATTTTTTTTAATAAAAATTATTTAAAAATAAAATTAAATATTTTATTATAAATTTTACAAATTATTTAAAATTTGATAAAAATTACTTAAGTATTTTTTTTAATTTTAAATGATTATTTTTATTTTTAAATGATATAAATATAAAACTCATAATAAAATATTTACTTTTTATTCTTGAACATATATTCTTTTAAACAATTTTTTAAGAAGTGTTATAAGAGAATAGAATATTCGGTACTAGCCAAGGCACAAGTGAAGTCCGTAACCACCAGTGAAGGGAAGAAGAAAGTTGAAGAAAAGGAACTGTTTCCATTGGAATACTGTGGATTGGTCATTTGGACTTTGAACGAGTCAATCTAACAAAAACAACAACATTAAAAAAGCCCTTGTCCCTACGTGCGTCCTATCCTATGCCCATGAGTGTTTTCTTTTAGGTTTCCTGGTTTCACGTGGGAGGGAGGATGTTGGGTTCAAATTCTATCACTAATTCAACACTTCATTAACTCCACACATCCTTAAGCCTAATTTAAGTTAATATACATATTTTAAACTTAATTTATTATTTTTAAATCATTAATTTTTCAAAGATAAATCATGAGCCCATTCATGCTCACCTAATCTTTGGCAAACCCTGATTAGGTGAAGTTCAGGGTTAAAAATATAGTTTATTAGAAAATACAGAATCAGCTCCTTATCGAGTTTACTAGGTCAATTTATACATCAAGTGGTCTTTAATACGAGGAACCGTGTTCTTGTCTAGCTGCCAAGCATAAAAGAGATAAAAAGCTACAAAATAGTAACTTCCACCTTTCTCATCCTCAATGTCTTTTGCATTTTTAATACCTTCATTAATGGTTTTAAATCTTGTACGAGTTATCGTACCAATATTTTTTAAAATAAACTAAATCGAACATATCCTATTAATGTTTATTATATACATAACTTCATAATTAAAAATACAAATTTTATATCCATTTATACATGTCATTGGGCATGGTGATCTAAGATTTCCGAGACATGATGAATTAGGTTCTACGAATTTGGAATTGTGATTGGCAAAACCATTGCCACCTAAGTTCTCAAAACGCGTCCTAAACAGTCACTCTTCTCACTTAATCCATTTCTTTATTTCGCCTCCATCGATTCTGCGCCAATCCAATCTCCAAATTTTCAACTTCAAAAAGTTTACACAGAAACACATGGCACCTCCTCCTTCACCTTCCATACTTCACTAAAACAAAAATCTTCACCAGTGCAGTGCCCAATTTCCCATTCCTTAATTTAAGTACCGTATCACCAACACACATTCATGATTCATAAAGCAAAAAGTATCACCAGTACACACCCATCCAATCAAAACCAAAGTATAAAAATAAAACAAAATAAAAAACATAGACATAGATATTGTTGGAAAACAAAGGGCATAGGAAGCAGCTACGAGGAAGGTCCCCAACGTCAACATGTTCGTAATGCTTCCACGTTCCACATCCACGTCTATAAATACCATCGACAATGTTCCGCACATTACTACTACCGTCACCAACACCACTTAGCCATTACAATTTGCAACATTGACATAAAGGCTTTGAAAAAGCGTAACATTATTCAAATTTCAAAGTGGGTGCATTGATTTGCATGGACATGCCATCTTCAAGTTCAACCCATGTTGGTGCTGCTTCTTCCGCATACAGAGGAGTCCGCAAGAGAAAATGGGGCAAGTGGGTCTCCGAAATCCGCGAGCCCGGAACCAAGACCCGAATCTGGCTCGGGAGTTTCGAGACGCCGGAGATGGCCGCCGCCGCGTACGACGTGGCGGCCTTGCATTTCCGTGGCCGCGACGCCAGACTCAACTTCCCCGAGCTCGCGACCACGTTGCCGCGCCCCGTGAGTAACAATGCGGACCACATCCGCATGGCGGCGCACGAGGCGGCGCTGAGGCTCCGGACCAACCCCGCCCCGCCGGAGACTGAAGGCGGAGGCGGTTCCTCGACGGCCGCTCCGCTGACCGTGAGACTCTCCCCCACTCAGATTCAGGCGATCAATGACTCGCCCATGGACTCGCCTCAGACGTGGATGCAAATGCCGGACACTTTCATGATGCACGATCAATCCATGATGTTCGCGAATGGGTATGTTTTCGAAGACAACGAGTGGGAGGATATTCAGAATGATTCTCTTTGGGATCCATAGATTCATACATACATACATACACATATACTATATACATACATTCACACAGTGAAGAATATGCTAGTATTTGGTATTAATTAATTATGGTTTGTTATATTACGTTACGTTACATTACATTATAGTTACGTATATCATGTGACTGATGAATTGATTAAGGTGAGAGGTGACAACAATGGTGACACTCACGCCAAGTCTCTCCACTTGACAAGTCCTAGATTTTGAAAATAAGAGCCGGTAGAAGAACATGTCCATATGCCATTGTTTCCTTTTTCTTTCGTTCTTTCTTCCAGGGATGAATTAAGGAGCAGGGAGATTTGATTTGAGAAGGAGGAGTAGCAAGAAAACTAATGAGAAGATGCCATTTGTGTTGTGTAGTACACTTCGGAGGGTCCCAATACAGATTAGTGTAACTATTTATTATGGGGGAGACTTGTTTAATCACAGATTCTTGATATATATATATATATATATATATATATATATATATATATATATATATATATATATATATATATATATATATATATATATAGTAGTGGGTGGGATTTGTTTTGTGTACCAAATGGGCCACGAACTCTGTTTATTGGCTGTGTTTTATAGGCTGTGGAAGAGTGTGGTGTGGTTTATTTTATTTTATTAGTAAATCAATTCAGCTTGTGTATTGGAATTCCATTTGTCAAGCAGATGAAGAAGTTTAACCATGTTTCTTTTCTTTTTCGCCCATTATCATTTCTTCTAAGATTAATCCAACTTCATTCTCTTCGTTGCTTTTGCTTTTGATAACATTCTTTATTTGTACCTTTCACAAAGAGTGACATGAGAGTAGAGTAAAAGATATTGCAGTCTATGCCTTTTATTTTCATGGGCTTTTTGTTGGGCTTCTATATACTGGGTTGGCCCAAACCAATAAGCAAAAAGACTTGTATAAAATGTTTGTGGTGTTAGATAATCTATGCATAGAATCCGTGGTCCTCGTACTTCTCACTGGTTGAGGTAGTTGGTGTTCGTGTTATGTCAGTTAATGGCTAATACCACGAGATTGGAAGCAAAAAAAAAATGGAGGAATGAGAAGAAGATGATTGATTGTGTTTGAAGCGTGAAGTGTCTCTGCAAAATGTTCATCATAAGTTCCTTTCCCTTCACTTCCACTTCCACTTTGTTGTTTATGAACTCAGTTTCACCTTTGTTTCCGTCTTCTTCACCGTCCATCAAAATCGATACAAGCTTGATGCCTTTGAATGCCTCGTTTGCTCTTCCAGAACTTGGAAGTAAAAGAAGAAGAAAAAGAAGAAAATGGAGAGCCGTTGATGGGAGTGGCGAGAAGCAATCAGTTTCTACCGTAGCATCATCACCAGCTACCAAAAGTTTTGATGATGATGATGATAACATTTCTGACTCAGCTTCAGCTGTGGTGAGGAATTTCTATGGAGGAATCAATGCGCATGACGTAGATTCTGTTCAGTACCTTATCGCGGAGAATTGTGTGTATGAGGATCTTGTCTTTCCTCGACCCTTTGTGGGTCGTAAGGTAATTCACACCATCTTCCTCTCACGAAATCAGAAATTAATTGGTGGTGTAGTCAAGACTAGTTTTCTTGATGAATGACTATCTTCCTATTAATCATTTCAGTTCTCGTTAAGTACAAAAAAGTACAAATAATATTTTGAAATTGGAGATAAATATGGGTAAAGAGACATGGTCATGATGTGATTGAGATGATTTGAGTGAGAAAAAGTATTGTAAAAAGCGTGCTTGTAAGAATAATATAACTCATTACTTCTAGCTTTAACTATTCTGCAGGAAATTCTTCAGTTCTTCAGAAAATTCACTAGTTCTACGAGCAAAGATCTGCAGTTTGTCATTGATGATTTATCTACCGAGGACTCCTCATCCGTTGGGGTGATATGGCATTTAGGTGCATTACACAAATTCCATTGTTCTTTATTGCATTTTAATGTGTTTTCAGATTAAAAAAGCGTATATTAACATTTGGAAATGGCTGCAGAATGGAAGGGAAAACCTTTCCCCTTTAGCAAAGGGTGTAGTTTTTATCGTGTAGAGGTTATCAATGGCAAAAGACAAATAACGTGAGTTATAGTTTCTTTCGTGTGATTAACTGGATGAAGCTAGATAGCTTTTGAAGTATAAGATTTCATTCTCCATTCCATCCCCTATTTGGTGGTTATCTGATTTTTGTGTTATGCATAGGTATTACTTATACCATCAACACTAGCGTATTTGCTGATTAAACTCTTACTATCTTAATTCTAATAGCTTGCAACATTTTCAATGGGATTTTTTAATAGCTCATGCTTATTAGTTCACTGATTTTTCATTTTCACAGTATCAATTCACAGATAAATCTAAAATTTTGTGAAAACAGGTATGGGCGAGACTGTGTTGAACCTGCAATCAAGCCTGGGGATGCAACTTTGGTATGTGAATTTGACTCTATGGAAAAGAAAAATAAGATGAAAGACGGGTGATGTTACAGATTTCTTCACACTATAATCAAATTGGTTTCATTGTTGTCATATGTGGTTCAGGGATGAGAGATGAATGAATGAATGAAAAGCAAAACTCTGAACAAGTCATTTAACTGCCAAAAGTAAATAATCTAACAGGAGTTTGAAATAATTACAAAAATCAAACAAAATCTTATCTCAAAACCCTTTATTTTCTTAATTATTTATGAATCAAAACTATGACAATCTCTAATTTTCATCTGTTACATCCATACCATAACATTGTCTATACAACGTGCACTTTTGGCATTTACTCTTAACTTTTCCATATATATCACTTCAGAAAGGGCCTTAAAATTTGCAGAAAGTTTAGGAAGAAAAGATAGAGGTTCAGTTATTTGATAAACTAATTGAAATACTGTTGCCAATATGTATGTTCTGGTGGTTTCAGTGTAGTCATCGGGAAACAGCAATAAAACACAGACCATGAAGAAAAACAATATGCTTTTCAACGCATGATGTTCATGTGTGTGGATGAGTGTTTTTATCTATTGACTTATTTTGATTCTCTTGGAAAACCATTTATATGCAGACAGTGATAAGGAGTGTGACATGGCTTCTGCAGCAATTTCCTCAGTTGGCAAACTGGTTATAGTGAAAAATTCTGCATTTTTTGGAACTGCAATGTCCCTTCTTTCTCCTTACACCATTGTTGTGTTGATGTGATCGTATCATAGTTGGATTATATAGCATAATCACACGACAGGTGAAAGTCATGTATATAGAAATTCTATGGTGTAATCTTGAAAGTTTGAGGTTTTGGAATGGTTTATTTTGCAACTCACCGCTTTTTTATTATTCCTTAAGTCTTGATTTTACAATCTTTGTTGACTATTCATTATTTTTCTTTTCTAGAACGTAGTTTTTAGAGTATAGAACTTAAGACTTAAGTTGAGCAAAATTAATATATATAGTTTGGAAAGGGGAAAATAATTATTACTTATTCAATACACAATAATGATTAGTGAAAAATTCACAAAATATCACATCAATATTCACTGCAAAGTTTTATGAAATCATGAAAAAAATATTAATTTTTATATAGTGGTGAGAAGGAAATTAAAGTAGAAGTAAATAATTGACCAGGGTTTAAAAAAAACAGTATGTTTTAAAGAATAAACAAAGGATTGCAATTAAACGAATAATAAAAATTAGGTGAAAATTAGAGTTTATATTAAAATTTAATGCATAATAAGTACGTAAAAACTTAAAATATTAATTATATGTCTATTTCCCCCCCCCTAAAAGTTGCTTCTGGATAATATTATTTGAAGTTGAATTTTATACTTCTAAAATATGTTGATTTTTTTTCAGTGACATGTTATTTCTGAATTAAACATTCTATCAATATTTACCAAACTAACGTACTATTAAATTTATAATTTAAAATAATATTATTCTACCAATATTTATCTAATTAGCATCATTTTTATATACACGATTGGAATTTGGTTCCTACAAGACCGAATTCCGACCTCACTAATTAATATAATTTTTAAAATAAAATAATATTTATTAAATATAATAATTAAATATAAATATATATATTTTATATAAAATAAATATATAAATATTATATATATATATATATTTTAAAAAAATTATTTATATAATTATATGAAATAAATATAAATATATTTTTTTAAATAACATAAAAATATACTTATATAATTATATTATTAATATATTTTTATAAATATAGTAAAAAAATATTAAAATATAATAAAAATATTTATATATTTCTATAAAAAATATTATTTTTACTTATTAAAATTATTTTATACTAAAAATATCTTTAAATAATATATATAATTTATTTATGTAAAAATATTATATAGAAAGATATAAATATATATTTATTAAATTTTATTATATTTATAAAAATATAAATAAATATTTAAACATTATATATATATTAAATATATTTGTTTTTACTATATTTATAAAAATATATGAATTATATAAATAATTATTTTAAAAAAGAATATATATATATATATATATATATATTTAATTATTATATTTAATAAATATTATTTTATTTTTAAAATTATATTAATTAGTAAGGTTGAAATTCGGTCTCCTAATAATAGAATTCCAAATGTATAAGAAAATTGTGCTAATCAGGTAAATATTGATAGAATGATATTATTTCTGGATTATAAATTTTATAAGATGTTAGTGAAAAAAAAATATTGAAATATTTGACTTTTTATAAAAGTGTGCTACTCATCTAAATATGAAAATTTATGTTAAAATAATGCTAAAGGGGAAAAAAAATCAAAATATGTTATTTGGAATAATAATTTTTTTAAAAATTTTAAAAGTAATTTTGAAAATAATAATTTTTTTAACACTTACGGAAAATACTTCCGGAAAAGGATATTTGAAGAAAAAAAATAGAAGTATTATAGTAAATTGGAAGGTGCAAATAACAATAGGCAAAGCAAGATTAAGATTGGAGTAACCCATTTAAATTGGACCAGCTAACGAAATCCATGTCATAGAAAACAACACAATCACCTAGCTAGGGTTTGTTTGTCTGTAAAAACGACAGCTTTGTACCGAAAACGACACTCGCTTTTAGGGTTTATATATATATTTATACAAATTTGACGTGGATTTCACTTTCATTTCATATCACAATGGGATTCTGGGGTCAGTCATCTTCTTCTTCCTTTTCTATTCATTCTCCTGGAACGTAGTTCTAATTGCACAAACATTCAACTGTTTCAGTTGTCATTCTGAAATTTGCGTTTTAGCTACTCGTCTATTGCTTCTTCTACTCCTTGTTCATTCTTAATCATGGATTTTCAACTCTTCTCTGTGTTGCCCGTTTCATTTTGTTTTTGAGCTCAGGGATTGAAGTCAAACCTGGTAAACCGTGTCCTTATCACTCTGACAATGTGCGAGGGAAGCTTCACGTTACTCAGGTTCTTAACTCATAAACTCAACTCTCGTCCCTTTCTTTCTGGTCTGGTAAATTTCTGAGTGCTGCAGTCCTCAATTTTTTGCTAGTTTTGTCTGGCATTTAGGTTTGATATGTAATTTCCACGTGGGGGTTTTTAACTTTGGACTCTTAATAAAATTTCTTGACTTTATATCTTCATCGAGATTAAGAATGCTTAATCAGTATAATTATATGAATTCAAATGTAATTATATGCGGTTTTAATGCAATGACACGGAAGGAGCCTGGAGTCTGTTGATACTTTTTAGGTCAGCTATTAAATGTTATGGGGAGTTTAACTATTTCCTTCTTTTTCGTTTCTTCTTGTCATAAAATTTCAGGCCACTCTAGGCATTGGCTCATCGACGGAGAAAAGCATTCTTCGGTGCTCTTCTGGACACAAAAGTCCAGTTTTTTTATGTTCACTGCTACCAGATAAGATTGAGTCATGCCCATTGAATCTTGAGTTTGACATTGATGATTTAGTTGCATTCTCAGTGATTGGTTCTCGAAGCATCCACCTTTCTGGTTTTTTTGCGGCTGATGATGGAGATGAGCTTAAGGATGACTATGAGTAGTATCCTTCTGTGGAACTTTCATTTGTTGGCCTATTTGCATTTCAATTTTAGTTTTATTTATATAGTTGTGACTAAGACATGATCCTTTGTGTACTTTTTTTTAATGTCTTCTTGATCTTCCTACTACATTGTGAAAGTGATTCATGGGGAGAAGATATTGAAGGAACCGAGACAGACGAATCATCTGAATATGATAGTGAAGATGGATATGGTGATGACTTTATTGTTGATAGTGATATTGACATGTACCCTTCTTCGGCAGTGCCAAATAGTGGAGGTATCATCGTTCTGTTAGAAACTTTTCTTGAGGTCATGAAATGATTATACGAATTTCCTGCTCTTAATCTTATGTTTCTTTTTCTTTTTGTTATCTAGTTTTCTAAATGGTGTTCGCATGCATTTTTTTACATCTAAGGACACACCAATGGTATATTTCCATTAAAATAAAACAAGAAATAATTATCAATTACTCAAAATCTACGATGATGTTTTTCCTTAAAATATCGAGAACTGTCCAAGTAAATTTGCATCTGATTGTGGGCATGCAGATATACTTTTTAAAATGGGATATAATAGGCATGCTATGAAATCCAATCATACATTTTTCTCTTTCATTATAATAAGTTTTATCATTACATTTTTTTCCATACATAGTAACAGAAATCATTCTTTTGTTTTGTGCATCTGTTCATTTGAACACTAATGCATTCCTTGTGTGCATTATAAATAGCCTCAAGTACCATCACCTAGTGGAATTTTTCGAAACTGCAATTGCAACTCTGCCTGCTATTGCGGCCAATATGATTGTTTGTGGTTATGACATTGGTCCTGCATTAGAGATGTTAATATGGGTTTCAACCAGGCTCTACCGAGCCGGGTTGGGTTGAAAAAATTTAAAATTTTTTAATAGTGGGGTAAATTGGTTCACTTAATCCCTTGGTTAAAAAGGTTTGAGCTAGGTTGATAGTGGGTTGACCTGTTTTTTCAATCCTTAATATTCTAATCTTTCCTATGTTAGTTTAAATCCATGATGAAAAAAATATTTTAAAGAGGCAATCCACCTAACCCACTTATATTAATAAGTCAATCCACCTATTTTAGTAATTTACAAAGATAAAAAATAATTAAAAAAGACACATTTTTAAGTGGGTCAATCCACTTAACCCACCAAATCGAGGTGGGTCGAATAGGGTTGTAAAATTTTTGGCTCACAAAAAAATGAGCTGGTTTGAGCTGACTCATTTTTAACGTGATGAGTCAACCCCTATGAGCCGGATTGGCTAACTATGACACCCTTATATCCTTTTGTCATTTGTCAAGTCTTCTGCCATATATAATTGATATATATCATATATTTGAACTGTTATGTAATATACCTGTGATGCTATCTGCTAGATGATATAGTGGACTGTGTTGGGTTTCTGCCAATTTCCACTACCTGTAAGGTGTTAAAATTGTGCGTGAGTGAAGGAAAGAAACTGAAAAAATGTGAGAAAAAAAGTAAACGGATTTTCACACCTCTGCTTCTGCATCATAGCAAGATTTTTCTATTGAAATCAACGTTAATGATATGTTTTTTCTTTTCCCCTTTTGTTTCAGTTGTAATTGAGGAAATAGTGGATGACGATAAACCTGAAAATGGAGATGATCAAAATAAGCTATTAAAGAAAAAGAAACAAGTGGCTAAGTTGAAAGCAAAAGAAAGCAAAAGTTTAGAGCTTGCAATTGTAGCGAAGGATGAGACTGATCTTGTGGAAAGTGAAGATGAAGATGGCTTTCCAATTTCTACTGCAGATAAAGATGTGTTTGTCTCTCAGAAGGAAGATACTGAAATGAAAGGAGGACAACAACATAAGAAAACTGAGAAAGGCAAGAAGAAGGAAAAAGATATTGATCATTCTGCCAGAGTTAAACGGAAAGTTGATAGCGCTGATGAAGATGAGCCACAGGATGGGTGAGAAAGATTTACCAGTTTAATTACTCCTGAAAATCAATTTCTATCTGATATTTGCCGGGCCCAACCTATTAGTTTTTTAATGTATATTTGTGCTGGCTGTTTTGTATAAAATCTTTCTGACAATGGTAAATGGTTTCAGGAAAAAGAAGAAGAAAAGAAACAAGTTGAAGGAAAATATTAAAGGTGAAAGTGCGGATGCATCTGGCAATAGCAATGAGACAAATGTAACTGCCCCGGATGAAAAGCATCCTGAGGTGGTTGAAACTACAAGCAACAACAGTGATGTTTCTTATGCAAAAGATGAAAATGATGGAAAGCTGTCCAATAACGAGTAAGAAGAACATTCATCTAACTAAAATATCAGTTTCATTTCACAGGGCGTTTGGAGTTTGGTTTGGATGGTTGATTTCAATATTACATTTATATTTAATTTTCTATTCTTGATATTCATATTACAATCTCAAATCTCAAAAACTCAGAACATCTGGTCAACCAAATTAAAAATTCTATTAGAAATACCACATTAATACCTTCAGTAAATTGGAATTCAACTCTATAAGATTGCAAATCGTTTGGTCTTGCTTGGTTTTGTGGCGCACATTGTTCCTGTAGAGTAATTTCCAATTACCTTTTTCTTTTGTTTGCTTGAGATATTGAAGCTTGGCATTTTAGGAGGTTGGGTTTCCTTCCCTCTCTGTTGCACTCTTAGGGTTATGTTCTATATCCTAACTATTTGATTTTGTGGTATTTGTTGCCAGCGTCCTTGCTGAGAAGAAAAACAAGAAAAAGAAGAAGAAAAAGACCAAAGAATCCGAAGGGGAAGCTGCTGCTGATCAAATTACTTCAACTGCTGAAAAGCAGAATTTGTCCACAACCTCAGAGAAAAAGGGGAAGAAACAAACTGAAACCAAGCCATCCCAAGTGAGAACTTTTGCAAACGGATTGGTTATAGAGGAGCTCCTTATGGGTAAACCTGATGGCAAAAGAGCTGCTCCTGGAAAAAAGGTTACAGATTTTTTTTACGATCGAATCAACGTAGTTTACTGAAGAATAATTCTCTGTAACCCATATTTTTCATGTAATTTCTTTTAACACGAACTTATTGATTGATTACATTACAGGTCAGTGTTAAATATATTGGGAAGCTGCAAAAGGATGGGAAAATATTTGACTCGAACGTGGGGAGAGCACCCTTTAAATTTCGCCTGGGTATGTAATGTGCTGATGTGTTGAATTTGCTCTTACATTCCTTTACATGTACATTTTTCACTATTTCATTTTGTATTTGCAGGTGTAGGCCAAGTCATCAAAGGGTGGGAGGTCGGGCTCAATGGTAATATATAATAATAAGAGTTTATGCTGTCCACTTTCTAGTGTTATTCTTTATACTAAGTGCAGTTATATTTTGTTTTCGTCAGGGATGAGGATTGGGGACAAAAGAAGGATCACAGTTCCACCATCTATGGGGTATGAAATTCCCACTTTTATCTTTTATTTGTTGAATTTGATTTCTCTACATTGAGCGTGTGTAGTACGTTAGAAAGTGAAGATACATTCACCTTTGTTTCGAATTTAAAAGACATCAGCATAATGTGCACCTTTTGCTCTTACTCTACGCACTTTAAAGGAGCTACTTGCTGAATCAAATTACATATCTTATGACACAAGTGTTTTTGTTTTGTTGAGCAGATACGCAGACAAGCGCGTTGGGACAATACCACCAAATTCGTGGCTTGTATTTGATGTGGAGTTGGTTGATGTTGATCGCTAATTTCCATCTCTTGCGGAACAAAAGTCCTTGCATCCTTATATTCCTCATTGTTTGTCTGGGAGAATGTTATAACCTCACATTTACCATTTTTGGTTCCAAACCAATTTCGAGGTCAAGTTTTGTAGGAAATTTTGGATTGCATTAGATATTTTCTTTCACATTCCAAACCTCACATTCACAGCTTTACCAGTATAAACATGCAAATATATATTTTCTTTCATTATCAATAGTGTCAATCGTTAAATTTGGTTTTCATTTTGAGTGTACATTTTATTACATTTTTTAACTAAACAAGAAATTACCATCCCTCATTCTTATGTTTAATTCTAACTTTAATCCTTGTTTAAATTACGTGTTATATATTATATTGGGTTTAGTTTGAGATAGTTGTTGGAATCAATTATGCTTGGCTATTTATTATTCAACTAGACAATTTTGCGTTTATAATAAAATATTATTTTCTCTTTACCATGTTTATATTTTAATATAATAATTATGTTAGTCGAATTTTTTATAATAATTTATAGATATTATGTGATTTATTATTATGATAATGAGAAACAAATTTTTATAATTTTAATAAAAATTTATTGATTATGAATACTAATTATATATTTGGATGTAATAATAAAAATGATTTAAATGAGGTCTATTACTAGTTAATACGTGAATACGAAATTTTGTAAATACTATTTTTATTTTTGAGATTATCACGTTAATTTATGTTATTTATTATATTTTAATTTTGGATATATAATGTTGTAAATAATCAGTTGAAAGGAAAATAAATATAATTAAATATTTGTGACAATCACAATTCTCATTCATAAATTGAGTTGATTTTCTTTTATTTTTAACTCAACAATCAAGCAATCTTTTTACCTTTTTTTTCCATAAAATATCTTAGAAGTTTTATATTTCAATTCATGTTAAAATTAAAGAAACTTTAAATATCACTTATGTTAATCAGAGAGAAGTATGAAGTATTATAATTTCGCACTCGAGTTCACATAAAACAAAATTATTTCATACAGTATCTATACTTTCTTTTTTATAAGAAATAGTTACTGTCATTTGTAAGATACAATTACCAATTTTAATTTTGATGATTAAAAATTATCCTGTAAAGTAATTGTTATTAAAATCAATTATTTTTATCATGTTTTTCTGCTTCATCTGCCAACTGTAGCAAGTTTCTGTTTTGTAGGTAACAAACTGCTCCGGGTTAAAACTGCAATATCAATCTATAAATAAAATATATTTTAACTTGTACTTACTATAAATTCCCTACAATATTCATCTCTTCAAAATCTTCCTCAGATGAAACAAACTCCTCACTACGTACATAACCAGCATCTTTCATTAGCTCATTCAATCCATCCATCAAAGGGTAAATCTCATATGCATGAGGGTTGGAAGTGTCCCCCACCAAAAAGGGAGAAAACTCAGTGCCAACATCAACCCAAGCACAACCAGGGGCCTTTCTCACACCCAAATTCCTCATATAAGTCCTCACCTCTGCTAGTTTGCTCCAACAACCAGCAGCAGCATACATGTTGGCAATCAACACATAATAACCTGAATGATCAGGGTTCATTTCCAGCAATTTTCCTGCTGCCCATTCCCCCATCATTGTGTTTCCATGGATTCGACAAGCCCCTATGAGAGTCGCCCACATTGCTGATGTTGGCTTGTATGGCATCCCTGTGATGACCTCTTTTGCTTTGTTTAGAAGACCAGCCCTCCCAAAAAGATCAGCCATGCAGGCATAGTGCTCAAGGCGTGGATTTATTCCATAAACATCTATCATCCTTTTAAAGAGAAATTGCCCCTGGGCTACTAGACCAGAATGACTACAGGCTGTTAGAACTGCAACCATAGTTACTAGATCTGGCTTAATCTCCAACTTGCACATTTGTTCAAATAGTTTTAAAGCTGTTTCTCCATCACCCTTCATACCATATCCCAAAATCATGGAAGTGTATGTCACTTCGTCTCTTCTGCTCAATGAATCAAACACTTTTCTGGCTTCTAAAACTTTGCCAGACCTTGCATACATGTCCACCAGGGCATTCCACAATAATAAATAGTCCTTAAACTGTTCCCGCTTCACAATGTAGCAGTGAAACTCTTTGCCGTGCTGCAGATTCGCTGCGCGAGCACAAAGGGGAAGAACGCTTGCAATGGTCACATAATTAGGTTCAACACCCTTCCGTAACATCTCTCTAAAAAGAAAGGAGACTTCCTCGGTTCGGTCCACGTACGCATATCCAGAAAGTATGGCATTCCATGATATTAAACCTTTCTCTTCCATTTTATGAAACAACATAAATGCATGCTCAAGATCTCTACACCTGGAATACATGGTAATCAATGCATTTTTCACATTATCAAACACTTCAACGCAAGTTCGCACAGCATGACCATGAATCTCCTTTCCCAATTTAAGAGCTCCAATGTGGGAACACGCATTTGATCCAACCACCACTGCAACAGCGTCCAGATGAACGAATGCTCTCATCTGGGAAATCAGCTTAAGTGCCCCTCTGAAATTGCCCGAATGCAAGCACCCTCCAGCAATGGTGTTCCATATAATCACATTCATTTCAACACCCTCCTCTTGCATGCTTCCAAATAGCTGAAACGCTTCCTTCCACATACCCCTAGAGGCATAACAGCTAATTATTGTGTTCCAAGAAACAGAATCTCTAATTGGCATATTATCAAACAAGTGACGCGCAACCTCTAGTTTCCCAAACTTACCATACATGGAGACCAAAGCATTGTGCACAAACAAGCACGACTTCATGGAGCTAGCCTCAATAGACTTGTGAACCTCCACCCCAGCATCGATATCCAAAGATTCCCCACAAGCCTTGAGAACAGATGGATAAGTGTACTCATCCGGTTCAATCTGCTTATTCAACATTTTCTTATACACAGAAAGAGCCTCCGCAAAGAGCCCATTTTTAACATAGAAGGAGATAAGCATATTCCAATGCAAAGGATCCAAAATACTAGAGCTCTCAGTGACAAATTGGGCATCAGCAAGGAGATTAACATTTGTGTAAAAACTAACAAGCCTTGCAACCAACATATGATTTTGATGAAGACCCAGTGAGATGATATGAGCATGAAGCTGCTTACCCAGTGACAATGACTTAAAATCGGTGCAAGCAAAGAGAAGAGAGCTAATGGGGTGTAAGAGAAGGTGGGAAGAAGAAGAAGAAGAAGAAGAAGAAGATGCATGGTGCTGTATTTGAAGGAAGGTTTTGAAAGCATTTGGTAGGTGGCCATGGGTCACAAAGTCCTTGAGGGATGCAATGAGAACACCAACCATAGATGTATCAGCACACAAGATGGGATTGTGAAGTGCTTGTTGGGGGCTTTGTTTCCATGATTTAGGGATGCACTTCTGAAGACGAGACAAGAAGAGGTGTGTGGGTATAGAAGGGAATGGGGAATATGACATAAACTGATAACGATGGGTGGGTTACGATCATGGCAAATGCGAAGAAGCAACCACATGTCTTCGCCAACATTCCTAGGGTTTCGTTTGGATTCGTAACTTCTCCAACATGAAGGCACTGCAAATAACGTGGGATATCTTCAACACTGAATTAAGATACCAATGGTTGGAGAACAACCAAACCAAACTATGAAAATCCAATTTAAATGTTACTCAAATTTTAATTTTGTATGGAGTTAAATATTGTTTTAAATTTCTCTAAACATCATTTTGCTTGATTTTTTTTTCTAGATTTATTATGTCTTTTTTACTGTTATGTTTATGACTAATAAAATAAAAAAATTAATTAAAATAATTAAGTTTAGAAAATATTTTGAATTTATTAGGATACTTTTAGATGTGTGATTAAATTTAATAAAGTGGCGTGTATTCATTCTTCCTTCTTTTAGGAAGCCGCGAGAGATAGAGAATATATATATATATATATATATATATATATATATATATATATATATATATATATATATATTCGCGCCTCTCTATATTTCTTCGCCAACGGCATCGCAGCTTTTTTTCGTTTTCTCCGTCCGCCCCTTCCATTTCCCTTCCACTCTTTCTCCGATCTGCATTTTCCGGTCTCTTCAGATGCCGCTTTTCTCCCATTCCCCACCCTGCTGCACCGCCGCGGCGCCGGCGGTTAATTCGTGGGACCAGAAGTCGAGATTTATCCCTTCGTCATGGAGGAACTGCAAGGTCACGTCTCCAATTCTTCGTTTCTCCCAGGTGCATGTCTAAACTTCATAGTTTCTTCGATAATTTCAATGCGTTGCAGATTTAGGATACGTCATAGTCGCATTTAAGCTTCGAATCGGTTATTTCAATGCTTGAGCGGCGCAACCGCTATTTTAGTGCCGAATTTAATTGTAATTTCCATGAACTTAGCGAAGGAAATACGCTGATGCTACTGTTGCCGTTTGAGCTTTGTATTTTAGTTGCGCAACTTTTAGCTATCTATATCGTGATACGTTCATTGCGTTGAGTCGTTGACACTCTGTTTCTCACACGCTATGTATGGATATTTTTTTGATGTAGAATGACAAATTCAACGTGTCTCGGTTAGCTCTTAGCCACTCTAGGCGGGGAGTTAAGGACCGGGCCATATCAATGGCATTAGTGGGCAACACTGTTGGACAAAAGGGGGAGGTGGTCACCTCCTCTAGCATCTTGGTAAGCTGAATCCTCATTTCATATGTTTTTGTGGTTAATTTATTTACTTCAATCGTGTGTTTACAGTTGGCACTGCAAAAAAAGGAGAAGTTTGCTGTTTTTTCTTAGTTGAAAAGTAAGCCAACTTCGAAGTTTGTCTAGTGTGTTTAGTAGACAGATTATAAAAAAAATAAAGGGAAGTTTTAAATTCTAATGACAAAATGTATCTAATGCATTCCTCTTGAAAAAAGTAGTGTCTAATTTATCCTTGTTTATTATAACTGAGATTTTTGTGTGTCCGTGGCAGGCGTATGATTTGATTCAGGGGGCACTTGTAAGTATTATTTATGTCTTGCTTCTCCATATCATCAAACATGATTTATTTTCACTTTTCAGAGAGTTAATCTTCTCGCTTCCTAGATTCTTAGTGTTCCATTCAATTATTACGGTTTTTATCTGTGTGCAAGAGTGGCTGTATTCATTTTAAATTCATATCTCTTTTAGAGCATCTCCAATTGGATATGGCTAGACTATTTCGTCAAGTTGCTTAGAGAAATTGCTTAAAATTTTGTAGCTTTGTTTCTTCAAGCAACTAAATGCTTGAAAATAAAAAATATTATTTCATTGAACCTTGCAAGAGGGAGAAATGAACCATACAATATACAAATAAATCAACATGGATGAAGGAAAAAATCACAGGTCAAACCACAAAACACAATAAATATTCTTGAAAAATAGATTAACTGAAATATGATTTTTATTATTATGTCAATACAAAGAGATGATATAAGATATATACAAGAGACCTAAACTATTTTAGGAAATATAATAACTCTATTTTATGCTAGGATCCCTTGATTTATGGGATTGTTCCTAATTATTCAAATCTGTACAGATTACAAGGAAATATACAAATTTCCTTATTTATTCTTTCCTAAAATACTATTTGATTTCTCACACTCCCCCTCAAGCTGGTGAATAGATGTTTTCCATTCCCAGCTTGGATACAATCTTCTCAAAATTATGGCAGCCCAGTCCCTTGGTAAGAATGTCTGCAATTTGGTCTTGAGAGGACACATATGGAGTGCATATCAAGCCACTATCAAGCTTTTCTTTGATGAAGTGTCTGTCTACTTCAATATGCTTTGTTCTATCATGCTGCACTCGGGTTGTGGGCTATACTGATTGCTGACTTATTATCACAATAGAGCTTCATAGGTTCTTCCCACTTTATCCTCAAGTCTTCTAAGATGATTTTAAGCCATAGCAACTCACATATACCTTGTGCCATGGCTTGGAATTCTGCTTCAACGACTGGATCGAGCCACTACACCTCGCTTTTTGCTTCTCTCCAAGTCACAAGATTTCCTCCAAGAAAGGTGCAATATCCCGTAGTTGACCTCCTATCCACAATTGACCCTGCATAATTAGCATCAAGTATAGGCTTCAAGTTTCACATTACCATTCCTTTTGAATAGAATCCCTTTTCCTGGAGTTCCTTTAAGGTACTCGTAAAATTCGTGGGCAGCTTGTAAATGGGTCTCCTTTGGGCTATGCATAAATTGGCTAATTAAACTCACTTGCATAGGCAATATCCGGCCTGGTATGTGACAAATATATAAGTCTGCCCACTAATCTTTGGTACATATCTTTTTCAACAGCAACATCTTCTTCTGCATTTCCAAGCTTTAGGTTTGGTTCTAATGGGGTACTAGCAGGTTTGCAAGCTGCCTTGCCAGTTTCCTTGAGCAAATCAGTGATGTATTTCTGCTGAGATATAAATATCCCTTTCTCGGAGTGGGCAACTTCAATTCCCAAAAAATATTTTAGTTTTCCCAAAGTCTTGATCTCAAATTTCTTGCCTAAGCATTGACTCAATAATTGTTGTTCTTCTTTATTATCTCCAGTTAATATTATGTCATCCACATACACCAATAATATTGTTACTCCCCCTGACTTGGAATGTTTAAAAAACAAAGTATGGTCCCCTTGGCTTTGTTTGTAACCCAGACCTGTCATAACTTTAGTAAACCTGCCAAACCATGCACGGGGGGACTGTTTTAACCCATATAATGCCTTTTTCAACTTGCAAACAGTGTTGGTAGCAACATCTTTACCATATCCCGGATGTATCTCCATATAGATTTCTTCTTCAAGGTCTCCATGTAGGAAAGCATTCTTAACATCAAATTGTTCCAAGTTCCAACCATAATTGGCAGCAAGGGACAATATCACCCTAACTGTGTTCATTTTGGCAACCGGAGCAAAGGTCTCCAAATAATCAACTCCATAGGTTTGGGTGAACCCTTTGGCAACTAGTCTTGCCTTATATCTCTCAATTGATCCATCAGCCTTGTATTTCACTGTATAGACCCATTTACATCCAACTGACCTCTTTCCTATTGGTAAGGTGACTAACTCCCAAGTGTTGTTTTTCTCCAATGCCTCCATCTCTTCATCCATGGCTTGCCTCCATTTTCTGTCAGACAATGCCTCAGATAGGGTATTAGGTAGAAGTATAGTGTTTAGGTTTACTAGGAAGGTTTTATGGGTAGGAGAGAAATTTTTAAAGGACAGGTAATTTGAGAGAGGGTAGAGTGGCTGTTTGGTGCATTTTCTTGTTCCTTTTCTAATGGCAATTGGGAGGTCGGGATCATTTTGGGTTTCAATTTCAACCTCGCATACTGGAGAAAAAATTGTTACCTCTTTTTGTGGAGTCGAGTTGGATTCTTGAACATGGCTTGATCCTGGAATGACCTTAGTCTTCCTTGAGTACACCAGCTTCTTACCAAATTTTCCAGTTTCAACATCTTCTCGATCAGCTTCACAATTAATTTCACTTTCTTGACCAACTTCCTTTGCTTGACCAATTCCTTGACTTGTTTCATTTGTTACAACTTCAATTTGATCTTGTTTAGGTTCAAATATCAAGTCTGGAAGAATGGGAAAACCAGAATTACTACTTTCAATATGATTTCGTTTAGGTTCAAATGTCAAGTCTGGAAGAATGGGAAAACCAGAATCACTACTTTCCTTATATTCCCTGAAACTCTCCCCTTGAAGATAAGGTTGATGGAAATAGCCCTCTTGTTCATTGAAGGTAACATCCCTAGACACAAAGAATTTTTTGGATGGGGGGTGGTAGCATTTATACCCTTTTTGAGTGGGTGAGTAACCAACAAAGACACACTTTAAGGCTCTAGGATCAAGTTTTTCCCTGTCTGTACTATGAATATGGACATATGAGATGCACCCAAAAACTCTTGGTTTAAGATTATTTGTAGTAGACAAGTTTGGATAGAAAGACGACAAAACTTCCATAGGACTTTTTGATCCTAAGACTCTAGAGGGTAGTTTATTGATAAGGTATGTTGCTGTAAGGACATCTTCCTCCCAGAAATTTTTTGGGACACTTTTTTGGAACAACAATGCCCGAGTCTGATTTAATAGATGTCCATTTTTCCTCTCTGCGACCCCATTCTGTTGTGGTGTTTTGACACAAGAGGACTCATGAATTATACCTTCTTTTTGACAAAAAGAATTAAGGACATGATTGAAGTAATCTTTGACATTATCTGACCTAAGCCTCTTAATATTAACACCAAACTGATTTTTTATCATGGAGTGGAAGTTTAGGAAGACAGAACTGACTTCTGATTTTTGTTTAAGTAGGAAAACCCAAGTGACCCTTGTACAGTCATCTATAAAGGTGACAAACCATCGAGTACCAGACACATTTGGAATATTAGAAGGTCCCCATACATCAGTATGAACAAGATAAAAAGGGAAATTACTAATTCTATTACTTATTGGAAAAGATATACGTTTGTGCTTAGCAAGTTCACACACCTCACAATGAAGACTCTCAATATCTAACTTGGTAAACAGAGAGGGAAATATAATTTTGATCACTCCAAAAGAGGGATGTCCCAACCGACAATGATAAAGCATGATTTTTTCTCTGTTGGTCATCAAGGATTCAGATATGAAGGAGTGAGAGATTCTATTCTTGCTTGGGCGAGACTTGGATCTTCGAGATAATAAAGGCCATTCCATTCTCTAGCATGTCCAATCATCCTCCCCGAATCCTTATCCCGAAATACACAATGATCATTGGAAAAAACAACTTTACATGACAAATCCTTTATAAGTTTTTGTATAGACACTAGGTTCGTGGACAACTTTGGGACATGGAGAACGTCTTTTAAGGTTATTAAATGATTGATTTGGATATTTCCTTGACCAACTGCAGTTATAAGGGTTCCATCTCGCTGTGGCAATTTTCTTGTTGCTTGGGACATGGGGAATATGTGGAGAAGTGTTTGGCTAATGGTGTCATGTGATCTGTGGCTCCGAGTCCAATATCCAATAATGGTTAAAAGGCGTATCCGAGACATTTAATCCAAAAGAAGGTGGAAACTTACCCGAGTATGCCAAAGAACACATACCTGTAGGTTTTTCCAGCTTACTAAGAATGATTTTCACCCTTTCTATCTCCTCTTCCCTTGACATTATAGCAAAAAGGTGCGATGCAACAACAATGCAGGCTGTCGTCTTAGGATTATGAAAAATGCAGCAGCAATGCAGACTGTCGTCTTAGGATTAAGAAAAATGCAGCAACAATGTAGGCTGCCGTCTTAGGGTTAAGAAAAATGCAGCAGCAATGCAGGCTGCCGTCTTAGGGTTACAAAATATGCAGCAGCAATGCAGGCTGCCGTCTTAGGATTTATCGAGCGCAGACAGAGCTTCCTAGATCGGAAGCTCTGATACCATCTTGAAAAATAGATTAACTGAAATATGATTTTTATTATTATGTCAATACAAAGAGATGATATAAGATATATACAAGAGACCTAAACTATTTTAGGAAATATAATAACTCTATTTTATGCTAGGATCCCTTGATTTATGGGATTGTTCCTAATTATTCAAATCTGTACAGATTACAAGGAAATATACAAATTTCCTTATTTATTCTTTCCTAAAATACTATTTGATTTCTTTGTTAAGGTTCCAACATAAAACCAATTGGCTATATGTGGAATAGCCTAACATGTATTTAAACCATACCAAATGATATGAGGTAGGCGATGTGGGACTTTCAACACACCCCCTCCAACGAAGCCTGCCGGACCAGGCAAAGGGTACTTTTGACCCAACTAAAGGGCAACTTTTGGCCCATGACAATAACCGGAAAGATGTTAGGCTTTGGCTCTGATACCATGTTAAGGTTCCAACATAAAACCAATTGACTATATGTGGAGTAGCCTAACATGTATTTAAACCATACCAAATGATATGAGGTAGGCGATGTGGGACTTTCAACAAATATACCCAATCACAAACAGAACATAGAAGGGCTGCAACTGAGTTGCTGAACCCATCACACCCAACCATGCGATGGAGAAAAGAAGGGCTAGAGAGGGGGGGGAGGGGAGAAGGGCTGGGGAAGAAGAATGAGACCTTGGAGAAAAAAAATAAAAAAGGAAAAGAAGGAGGATGGAACTTTGTAGAAGATTGGTGTGAAAAAATTGAAAGGAGAGAAGGAATAAAAAATTGAAAGTATAAAGGAGAAAACAAATTGAAAGATGAGATAAAGATAATACAAAATAATGAGTTGTTTAATATTTCTTAAAATTTGCTCCATTGGAGTAAAACTAGATATAAATTGCTCAAAAATAACGTCGCATGGTGGGACCTATATTTTACGATTTTTACTATAGGAAGTAACTCATATAAGTTGTTTCCATTAGAGATATCCTTAGTTATTCTTAGCTGACCATGAAAGATATTCTCATTGACCTTTAATATCAGTCATTCGAAGTAGCTTTAGGCTAAACAAAACTTAATGTTTTTAGTTGGGCTGATTTATGGCAGAATTTCAGACATGGATTGTATAAGCTTACTCATTATGCAAAATGATTTTTTTTTTCAAGGGAACATATTTTTGGTGAAACAAAACTGTTTCTTCTCGAAAAAGCCAAAGTTATGAACTCATGTATCCAGTCCTTTAATGATCTCACTTTTTTCTGGATTTTACCTCATTTGGAGCTGTAACTATCAAACGATTGTCTACAATAGGTCAATCATATTAAACCTAATAACAACAGCAATCACTGCTAAGCCTTTTCCCACATGGTGGGGTTGGCTAAGGGGTGTTTGGAAGAGTTTATGGGATATACCATTGTAGCTTATTCCAATAAGTTTCATGGGTAAATTTATGGCATAAGCCCTCAAGTGATAATAGCTGATGAATAATGCTTAGTTAAGTTGTAAACTGAACAAACCCTTAATGATTATAAGCACTGATATGGAGCAAAAAGTTGTTGACCATACAAATCCGTTATTTGCCAACATATACGAGGATATTTAGATAAAAGTTTGTAAAATGATATTGGATGGTTGCAACCTCATGTATTTTCATAAGTTAATGAATCTCATCAATATACTGTTATGTAATGCTATTAAAGACTAATACGCAGACATAATTTCATGTACAGGTGAGATGGAGTTCTGTTATGGACAGATCTTTACCTGATCCACCAACAGCTGTTTTTCTGCATGGGATCCTAGGTTGCAGAAAAAACTGGGGTGTGTGATACTGTATACATTTTGTTTTTCACAAGCTTTGGATATATAAATTTTATTCATGGCCAGAATTGTTTCCTTATAATCTGCACAGTTAGCATGTGTTAACAATGTATTACCCTTGATCAAACCATTTTTCTTCTTACATGCTCTCAAAATTGAACAATAATTTTAGAGTAGCTTTGTTCGTGGCTGTAGATCTGAACATTTATAGTTATGCCCTTTTTGTTCAGGTGAAAAACGAAATAACCTTTTACCATTTTTTACCTTTTGAGTTTCAATGATGAATTAGTGTGTGCAAGTATATAAGTTTGACTTTGATAGTTTCACTAAAAAGGGATATAAACCCAGAATTTTGTTTCATGTAACTCCTTTTTGGGTAACGGGCTTAATACACTTTTAAGTTCATCTATTTGTTCTTTTAAGAATTTTTTTTTTCCATCTTTTTTCTTTGGTTTCCAATTCCATACGCATGGTCTCATATTCATTTAGTTTCATTACCATTTTTCTTGCTGTTGATTAAAATGTGAACTGTTAAGTGCACGGATGTCTATTTTTTTTTACTGATGTAGTCATTCATCAGAATGATAATGTAGTATTGCATGATCATCTAATGTTGAAGTAATTGAAATTATATAGTACAATAAGAAAAATTGAGTACCTTGAAATATAATAAGTTTAAGCTTTTTCTGGAATTTCATGTCATTTATGACTTATAGGCGTGAATTGTAGGATTTCTTTGTTGGTGGACATTCAGCCTATTGGAATGTTGGTCCTTGGTTGGTTGCTTGTTCTCTGAGGGTTTTGAAGTTTTCTAGATATATGAAAATAAGTCATATTTAACTTATTCATCTTTCTTTAATTTCAAAGAAAGCCTTGTTGGGTGGACGATTGGAAGTCTAAGCCAATTGACGTATATGTATACGTATATTATCTGGTATTTTGTTTGTTAGAATCATCCTTACATGGTTTTGTCAAGGAAATAATTGTAGTGTGTTAATTGAACAATAGATGAGTCACATTGGCTAAATAATTGTAGTGTGTTAATTGTAGTGTGTTAATTCTTATTAAACATTTGTCAAGGAAATCTTTAATTTTCTGCTTTGCACTTTTCTTTTTTGTTGATTTTTTTTATGTGGTTTCTGATATTTAGGTTAGATGTTTTATATTTGCAAAGAAGTATCTCTAGTTCCCAGGAAAATATAATAAGAAAGAATGCATTTTTAGTTTCATAATTTGATGATGAAAGAATAATATTCCAGGAACTTTTGCTAGGAGATTGGCTCAAGAGTTTCCTACATGGCAGGTATTTATTTACTCTACATTTTTATGCTAACCTGTGTTAGGTACCATTTTCCATTCAAATGTTTATTGCTATACCAGGCATTATACACATGGTATTGATTTTAATCCTTTGATGGTATGGAAACATTTGCACTTCCAACAAATCATTTATAGTCATGAAATTAAAACATTGTTAAAAATATTTTATTTAAGTGGATGATGCAACACTTTCTTGTTTATTTGTGAGTTATTGTGTTTGGAACAAAATATTTTTGACTCTGATTAGATAATATTTTTTATTTTTGGATATCCTAAATTTGGACTATAGAGGTCCTATAATTTTGGATTTACATAAATATGGATCCTTTTTTTTTTTTTTTTTTGTATTGACAGTTTCTTTTAGTAGACCTGCGATGTCACGGTGATTCAGCATCAATCAAGAAGAGAGGTCCCCATACTGTTGCGTCTGCTGCTATTGATGTTTTGAAACTGGTGCGCATTCTTTAACATGTTTCCTCAATCATTATCATATTTATGTCCTGGGTGTGCTAAAGAGTGGGGCAGGGTCTGTGTCAATTCCACTCCACCCATTCCTAATGAGATTTAAACCTTGGTTCTACTGCATGGAATACCCAGTTTTTAACCATTTGGGTTTCCTCTTAGGGACTTGCATCCCACCCTGATGCTTCCTTTGTCGTTCTCTTGATTTACAATCTCTCTAGTTTTGATGAATTCCTTAAATATTTATTGGCTTCACCTCTCTAGTTCCCTTAATTTTTATTGCAATTTATTGTCCTCTTTTTAATGTTGAAATGCTAAATGATATCAATTTGTGGGAATTAAAATCTCGTGATTTAAAAAAAAAAAATTAAACGGCTCTTTCTTTGTTTATGGAATATTTTTACTATTGATAGAAAACCTTGGAATGTTTAAAATTTAGGTCAAACTTGGTTGTTGATTAAATATATTATGTTCTGTATACATGTAATTTATTTTCCTTTCTTGCAAAAACTTCCTCTCTGTTTTTGTGGATAGGTTCGAGATCTCAGAATAACACCTCGTGTGCTAGTTGGTCATAGTTTTGGGGGGAAAGGTTAGTTACTGATCGATTTAAGTTTACTTTTTGTGCCTTTTTTCAGTGGCCATTTTACATACATTCTTCCATTTTTCAGTTGTGTTGAGCATGGTGGACCAAGCTGCAAAGCCTCTTGCTCGGCCAGTGAGAGTAAGTTCAAATTCCACAAGCTTTGAACTTTCGATCATTGTGTTAAAAATATGCAACCATGTTGGCCAGATCCTTTATTGTGTGATTTATTAAATCCCCTTAACACTGTAAGATTTAACAAGGTTAAGGATGAAAATATGGATAATGGAGGATGTATAGCAGTTTCCCTTAATCATGCTGGTACTCTAGAATATATGCATGAGACTCAAATGATGGTAAAAATCTTCATGCTTCCACAGGAGAAACTCCTATCATGATAAGAGTTTATTCTGCATGGAATATTTTCTTTTACCATGACAATAAGTGAACTTAAATCTGTACCCAAAAATTGTCTGTACTATTCATGAAGATATTCAGATGAAAATTTATTTTAATATACATGAGAAAATGCATGACAATGATTTTAACTATGGTTTCTGTTTTGTTTGTTTGTATTTATGTAAGAGTTCTTCTAAACTGTTTCATACTTGTTTCTATGCTATTTGAAGGCCTGGGTTCTGGATGCAACCCCTGGAAAAGTTCGAGCAGGTGGAGATGGAGAAGATCATCCAGCAGAACTCATATCCTTTCTAAGTACACTGCCAAAGGAGGTAAATCTTTAATCAATTCTTCTTTTATACTCAAGTTCATATTTCTTTTAAGAAGAGCACTCTGAGATAAAATGGTTTCATAGATCAGAAGCTTTCTGATACACAGGATCCTCTTTCGAGGCAAGTGTAGAGCATACTTGCATCTAAGTGGGGAACGATACTAAGAATTATAAGCTTCAAGCTTTCAGAGAAGAGAAAGCTTAGAGAGAGAGCATTTTAAAGAGAACTTGTATTGATTTCATTCGATTGATCTCTGCCTTCAACATTACAAGTATCCCCTATTTATAGCGAAAACAAACACACGGAATTCAAAGCTTCGCTAAACTAGAATGAAATTCGGACCCGAAACTTATGTTACAAGGTGGAATCCGAAGTAAAGTATTCAAACTATGGCCCACACATCATAATGGCCTTACACAAGACAAAATAACATGATTCATGCTTTATTGAAGTCATACGTATGGACAAAGTAGAAAAGATAAGATAAGATTCGAAAATGATGTCTTATCTCTTCATGGAAAGTAAAGTTGATCCAGACTTATCTTCATTAACACGTTTGCAGTAAACGCAATGGACACGTGTAAAGATAAGGGAATCTTGCTTTAGTAGCATGTCGAGAATGATGACCATTAACTAAAGCCTTTACTTTAGTCAGAACGAGTGGAGCCGAGTAGTTCATCTGTTGGGCTTCACTCCTTGTCATGCTTCCATGTAGTGGGTCCCGATAAGGATACATCTTCTTGTGCATCATCATTTCTTCCATTAGATCTTCGTTGATGTTGTCGGCTAGATCTTCGACCTTCTGGAAGGCTTCATCGGGGACGTTCATCTGTCGTGATTTGAAAAATCTTATCTCTTGAGATTTGTCTCTTTACGAGTAATGTCTGCTCCAAAGGGTATGTGTCGAGGTGGTCTCGGGATGAGTTGGCGATGTTAGGGTCTATCTCGCTTGGGTTGGTAATGATTTACTTCACGGAGGTGATGCGCCGGTTGTGCACGGTAACTAGAATCAAGTGGGTAAGTGTCAAAACTAGCCCATAGATAAGCTTCATTTCTTGACCGAGAGATGTCCAGTTGAATTCGGAAAATATGGACGGTGGATGATGAAGATAGATGTCAGATTCTTGAGAGATTCTTCGAGTAACTCCTTTCCGTTTTTTAAGATCTAGGATCTCCTTAAGCTGTTGTCTCCACCAAGGTATTGGAGAAAACCATTCGAGTAGTGTCCAAAAAAGGAACTTGTCTTTGTATGGATGTGTTAAAATTTGGTAGGCTGTTTGTGTCTTTAGTGCGATGGGAATAGAGTATTGTACTGTATCGCACCAAATGGTCCAAAGAGTAGGTTCACAAAGATCCCAACCAGGTTCACAAAATAATTCAAAAATTCCTCCAAAAGAAATATCAGGGTTAAACAGTGAGGCTGAAATTACTTTGTATCTAAAAGTCTCATGTAAAAAGTAAAAATATCTTGTTCTAGCATAATGGAGAATATCGGCTGGTGTGGTTGGGTTTAAGCCAGGTGGATAAACTTTGATGGTTTTGGCTTTGTCGGAGAGAGGTTTGACCATAAAGATTAGGGGAAGACTATGGGTGTCTACTATTAATTGGACAGTCCTTTTGGGTCTGGACAAAAAGTCAGGGACTGTGTTTAGGTTTCCCTTAATATGCTTAACAGTAAAATCATACCTGGAAAACCAGTCCATTAGGAATTATGAGTGGAAAGTGAGTAAGAGAAACCTTTAAACATGAATAGCCAAACACCACCACCAGAGTCCGGTCCCGTTGGTCCCGTTCTTCTAAACTCTACTCTTTCTCTTCCCAAAAATATTTCAAAAACTCTTTCTTCAAAAATAGAAAATCTTATAGAATACTCCTATATTCCAGAAGATGCTCAGATCTCTGAAACATATAGTCCTCTCCTTAGTCCTTATAATATTTTCAAAAGACAAAGATCTACTCTCAAATCTATTACTCGCCTTCTCTACACCAGAAGACCTCATATCAAAGAGTACGTCCAAGCCTCCAGGATGGACCAGTGTGCCTTAGCATCCACTACAGAAGAACAATATGTCAACATTGAGATCCCCAAAGATCTCATTAGACATTGGCAAACTGAAGGATACACCCATCTTCATTATGGAGCTATCCGACTTGTCCTCTCTCTCCACGGAAGAAGAGGATTACCTGTCTCAGCCAGAGTCTCTCTTTTGGACTCTAGCTACCTTCATTATGAGCATGCCGTTATCGGTACTGTTCTAACTACTCTTCATGCTGGAAGTGTAGTTTTCACCATCTTTCCTAATTTCAACATTAGCTTGAAAGACCCCACAATCTCCCACAGATTGAAGGTACAGATCCAGATTACTGGAGCTGAACAAGTAGCTGATGCATTATCAGCTACTCTTCATCATCAAATCATATATAGGTTACAAGACCATGCTATAAATCTTGCGTTACCATCCTGCAAAGATGGAGCACTCTTCGTCTTGGCCAACAACCAAGAAGAGACACCTTCCATAGTTCAAATCCCCAGAAATATCTCTTCACAAGAGCTTCATAAGCTCATTCCAATGCAGTGGATAACTAACTATGAGAAGCTCCATAGTAACCAGAAACCCATTCAGTTCACAGAAGCAACGTTCAGAAGGTCTGTGGATGGAACTGTTAGAACCATCTTTAAGAACCCAGAAGAAATTCCTAGTTCTAGCACCTCCATTTTCCAGTCAATGATGATAGCGCCTGCAACCAAAGAAGGCAAAATCCCAATCGTCAGTATATGCCCCAATGGCAAACCTATCTTTACTGACAAGATAGGGGGACACTTCATCTGGGATGCTGACCCAGAAATGTGCGATTCTGACTGTGACTGCTGTGACCACTATGGAGATACTAGTGATGAGGATGATGACTCAGACAGTGATGATGATGACTTCAAAGGAGGATCCTGCAAACCTCCATTTTCTCCTTCCAGGAAATTTGAACCTGGAAAAGGCCCATGGATAGGAATCCACCGCCAACATGAGCCAGATCCCTTATGGAAATATAAGAGATATGCTGAAATCCTTGAAGAAGAAGGCCTCCTTTTCTCTAAACAAGAAAGGTGCAGAACCTCTGCCATGCCTTATCAGCCTGTCCCTGTAGCTCTTCCCATTCCATGTATGATGATTAACCCTTCAGCCTATAAGGAAGAATTTCCTTCATTAGAAAGGAACACAGACCCTGTGTCCAAGACAACGACAAAACCTCATGTCGTTTGCCAAGAAATTGGACCAGACGGGAAGGTCAAACCATTAAGTCAGGCAGAAGAAGTCCTGAACTGGCAGACAGAAAATGCTCGAGTTCAGAATTTTATCTTACAGAGAATCGATAAGAAGATAGACAAGATCTCCACGCACCTAGAAGAAACTGATGATAAGCTTCAACATCTTAATTCTACTTTGAGGAAACACTATAAACAAATCTCCGCAGAAATCTCAAAGTTAGAAGAAGACTGGAAGACCACTGTCTTCGGAGAATTATCTCACGCAAAAGAAAGGGAAATTAGAAAGCTCAAAGCTCAGATTCAAGAGATGGATAACTACATTGAAGAAAAGATTAGGCAGAAAAACCCAGAAAAAGAACACTATACATCCCTGTTCTCTTCAACTCCAGCCTACTCTTCTTTTCAAAATCCTACCTCTTATTTCCGACCAGCCTCACCAACCACATGGTCATTACCAACAGCCACGGCTTACAGGTCTAGATTCCGACCCGTAGCCCCTAAGCCGGATAAAGGAAAGAAAGTGGCTCAACCTTCTTCAGAATCTTCTTTTGATGATCAACCTTCACCAAAAAGGCCAACTCAGCAAGAACCATTTGACCCAATCTTTCAAGATTCCCAAGATCCATACTCTCAGTTAACCATAGAACCTTTTCCAACCCCTGCAACTCCAGATACTCCAATAATGCTTGAGGAATCCTCTGAGGAATCAGAAATTGAGGTCCATACTTCTGAGGAGTCTGAAACTGAAGTCCTTACTACTGAATCAGAAACAGAAATTCCCAGCTACGAAGATCTGACGCAGATACTAATGACCAATACCTCCAGATCAGAAGTCAGACATGAGTCAATTTATGACCCTCCAGACGAAGAGGCTGACTCCGGACCTACAAGGACAAATGTGTCCTCAAAGACGAATGGTGGACCCTGGTTCACTATTGATGACATTCCTCCCAGCCAATGGAGAACCAGATTAATCGAATTTGGTGCATGGTTAGACACCAAATTAGTCAACAATTCTGACTCTTATAAAGTGATTGAAGAATTCTGTTGTAGGATGACAGGAACTTTAAAGGGATGGTATCATAATTTAGGAGTTGTCCGACAAAACCAGTTCCATGAACTGGGCCAAACTTCAGCAGTACTTGGGGCTTTACATGAAGAATTCATAGGTGATGGATCGATCATAGATAAAAAACTCCGACAAGAATTTTTCGAGATGAGATGCTGCTCAATCAAAATCAAAGACTTGGAAAAACACTATCAGAGAATGAGCAAAAGATTCTTCCATCTCAATGGACTCAACGATCCCAGCTTGAAGAACACCTATGTTGCATCCCTTCCTGCTGAGATCCAACCAGAATTGAACAGGATGACCATGTCCATTCAAAAAGATTTCACTACTCTCACGATAGGACAAATTCACCAGATGACTTTAGAAGCTGTTGACAAACTGTGTAGACAGCATGAGTTCTTTTCTGACATCATGACCCAGAAAAGCAAGTTTAGTAAAGCCTGTCAGAAACCCTATCTTGAGATAAAATGTAAGAAGTCCTGTTCAGGTAACTGCAAAATGAAAAAGAAGCGGGAAAAGCCAATTTTCCGCAAGAAAAAGAAAAAGAATTTTAAATTCTTTAAGAAAAAGAAGTTCAGAGGAAAAGCACAAGATCAGCGGTGCTTTATTTGCAAGAAAAAGGGACACTTTTCCAAGAACTGTCCCCACAAAGCTGATAGAGCCATCAAACTCATCTCCACCCTTCAGCTTGATGATAAGGATGATATAGAATCTCTGTATTCCGAACAAAGTTCTGCAGATGAAGAAACTGTTTTTGCTCTTAATATCTCCTCTGGAGAATCTGAATCAGAATATTCCGAGGAATCTGAGACTGATACTGTTCCAGTATTCTCCTTCCAAGAATCTCATCTCATCAATGTCTCTCCTCCTCAACCTTGTTTAGAAGTTCAAATTCTTCCGTCTAAATATGACAAGACTATCCAAGCCATAGCCTACATTGATACAGGAGCCCAGAAATCTATGATGGACCCTGACATTCTTCCTAAAGAATTTTGGAAGAAAGAAGCCTCCTATTTTGTTGCAGCTGACGGAAAGATTTTTAAGACTGAACTAATCACCAAAGCTCCAATTGGAATCAAGTTCTTCCCAGAATGCACTGTCTGGAGTAAAGTGATTGGGAGCAAACTTCCCAACAAAGATATCCTGATAGGCATGGACATCTTCTCCATGACTAACAAATTTCAAATCCTTCCTACAGGGATCAGGTTCAAAAGAGAATTTAAACTTTTCACAGACATCCCTAGACTCTTCTCTCTCTCTGAAGCTCCTCCAGACCTTGAAGAAATAAAACTCAAATTAGCTTCTCTGTGCGCCAACAATCATGAAGAATTTTCTCATCCCAAGCCGTTATGGAAGAATCCTGAGTTCTTTGTACAACTACCCTTCAAACTCAATGAAGATGTCAATCCAACCAAAGCCACTCACCCAGGAATGTCTCCTTCAGATTTACAGCTAGCAAGGCAAGAGTGCCAGGAACTGTTGAAACAAGGCCTGATCGAACCAACCCAATCTAATTGGGCCTGTCAAGCCTTCTATGTAGAAAAAAGGTCCGAAAAAATCAGAGGGAAAAAGAGGTTAGTAATCGACTACAAGCCTCTTAACTGTTTTCTTAAGGATGACAAATTTCCAATACCTAAAGCCTCATCCTTACCCACTCTGATAAAAGAAGCCCATATCTTTTCCAAGTTCGATCTTAAGTCTGGATTTTGGCAATTAGGCATTGACCTAACTGACAGATACAAAACTGTTTTCTGTATACCCAATGCCCAATACCAATGGAAAGTAATGCCTTTTGGGCTTAAGACAGCCTCATCACTGTTCCAAAAAGCCATGACAAAAATCTTTGAGCCCATATTAGACAAAACAATTGTATACATTGATGATATTTTATTATTCTCACAAGACATGGACTCCCACAAACAGTTATTGGATCAATTTTTTAACATAGCCCATCAACATGGGATAATGCTCTCAGAGAAAAAGATCCACCTTGCCCAGGAAGAAATTGACTTTCTAGGAATGCACTTCTACCGTGACTCTTACCAACCTCAACCTCATATTGCAGAGGAACTTCTCAACTTCCCAGATGAAAATCTGACCGTCAAGCAGATCCAACAGTTTCTTGGGATAGTTAATTATATTTGAGAATTTATCCCTAATGTGGCAAAGAATACAAGTCCCTTGTCCAAACTCTTAAAGAAAAATCCACCTCCTTGGGGATTAGAACAGACCAAAGCCATTAAAGAATTGAAGAAAACCGCTCAAGCTCCTCCAGCTCTAAAGATTCCAAGCAATGGGAAAAGAATACTACAGACTGATGCCAGTGATGAATACTGGGGAGCAGTACTCATTGAAGAAGAAAATGGAAGAAGATACTATTGTGGACATGCAAGCGGGCAATTCAAGGATGCCGAGAAACACTATCACACCACATTCAAGGAAGCCTTGGCTGTCAAGAATGGGATAAATAAATTTGACTTCCACCTTAGAGGATATCACTTTGAAGTTCAAATGGACAACTCTTCATTCCCGAAGATCTTGGAATTCAAGAACAAAATGCCTCCTAATCCTCAGATTCTCAGGTTAATGGACTGGTTTTCCAGGTATGATTTTACTGTTAACCATATTAAGGGAAACCTAAACACAGTCCCTGACTTTTTGTCCAGACCCAAAAGGACTGTCCAATTAATAGTAGACACCCATAGTCTTCCCCTAATCTTTATGGTCAAACCTCTCTCCGACAAAGCCAAAACCATCAAAGTTTATCCACCTAGCTTAAACCCAACCACACCAGCCGATATTCTCCATTATGCTAGAACAAGATATTTTTACTTTTTACATGAGACTTTTAGATACAAAATAATTTCAGCCTCACTGTTTAACCCTGATATTCCTTTTGGAGGAATTTTTGAATTATTTTGTGAACTTGGTTGGGATCTTTGTGAACCTACTCTTTGGGCCATTTGGTGCGATACAGTACAATACTCTATTCCCATCGCACTAAAGACACAAACAACCTACCAAATTTTAACACATCCATACAAAGACAAGTTCCTTTTTTGGACACTACTCGAATGGTTTTCTCCAATACCTTGGTGGAGACAACAGCTTAAGGAGATCCTAGATCTTAAAAAACAGAAAGGAGTTACTGAAGAATCTCTCAAGAATTTGACATCTATCTTCATCATCCATCGTCCATATTTTCTGAATTCAGCTGGACATCTCTGGTCAAGAAATGAAGCTTATCTATGGGCTAGTTTTGACACTTACCCACTTGATTCTAGTAACCATGCACAACTGGCGCATCACCTCTGTGAAGTAAATCATTACCAACCCAAGCAGATAGACCCCAACATCGCCAGCTCATCCCAGAGACCACCTGACGCATACCCTTTGGAGCAGATTACTCCAGAAAGAGACAAATCTCAAGAGATAAGATTTTTCAAATCACAGATGAACGTCCCTAATAAAGCCTTCCATAAGGTCGAAGATCTAGCTGACAACATCAACGAAGATCTAATGGAAGAAATGATGATGCACAAGAAGATGTATCCTTACTGGGACCCACTACATGGAAGCATGACAAGGAGTGAAGCTCAACAGATGAACTACTCTGGCTCCACTCGTTCTGACTAAAGTAAAGGCTTTAGTTAATGGCTGTCATTCTGACATGCTACTAAAGCAAGATTCCCTTATCTTTACACGTGTCCATTGCGTTTACCGCAAACGTGTTAATAAAGATAAGTCTGGATCAACTTTACTTTCCATGAAGAGATAAAACATCATTTTCGAATCTTATCTTTTCTACTTTGTCCATACGTATGACTTCAATAAAGCATGAATCATGTTATTTTGTCTTGTGTAAGGCCATTATGATGTGTGGGCCATAGTTTGAATACTTTACTTTGGATTCCACCTTGTAACATAAGTTTCGGGTCCGAATTTCATTCTAGTTTAGTGAAGCTTTGAATTCCGTGTGTTTGTTTTCGCTATAAATAGGGGATACTTGTAATGTTGAAGGCAGAGATCAATCAAATGAAATCAATACAAGTTCTCTTTAAAATGCTCTCTCTCTAAGCTTTCTCTTCTCTGAAAGCTTGAAGCTTATAATTCTTAGTATCGTTCCCCACTTAGATGCAAGTATGCTCTACACTTGCCTCGAAAGAGGATCCTGTGTATCAGAAAGCTTCTGATCTATGAAACCATTTTATCTCAGAGTGCTCTTCTTAAAAGAAATATGAACTTGAGTGGGCTTTTAGCCGAGGGATGGCGCCGTTATGCCCGAGGATGTTCATATCTTCTGGATAAGGAGGGGTCTCGTTTTGAAAAATACAAATATAATATGATGTTAATTTGATTCAATGTGTTTGCTCTGGTTATTGAGTTTGATCTAAATTCCTGTTTCGATCATTATTGAATTTCCTATTTGATTTTTTAATTCAAAGTTTGAATTGTAATTATATCAAGATACGTGAGTTATATGGAATATTTGTTTCTAAAGGGAACGGGAAATTCATAAGAATTTTGTTATGGTGACTTGTCAATCAAATTCTTGTGGGTTATATAGATATATCATATTTGTACTAGGGTTTAGGTTCTATTAGAGATATGAGGAATATGGATGAGCGTGAAAGATTGTCTTGTGAGGTCACATGACCTCACAGGGTTTAATGGATTTGTGGCGAAAGTGGTGAGCTAGTTATGGGATCTAGGAGATAGATAGTGCTATAATTATTATCCTGTGACCTTGTTTTGATAGTAGATTAATCTCTTCCCATCATGGTAAATTGTGTGAGTTTGTGATGCTTTTATTTAATTCCCACTATTTATTGAAAGTTGAATAATTTAAAGAGGGGGATATGGTATTCCCCCAACATTGGTTGCTTTGACTCGTCACTATCAAATAAAAAAGAACTGTAACAAAGGAAACTATTGGAGTATACAAAGGGGGAAATAGAATAAATAGAGGGGATTATGGGAATAAAGCTGGCCACTAATTTATCAACATTTTATGCGCTTTTGATTATCATCTCAGTAACATGGTAACTATCTTCCTTTACTCTGTAGCTTCTTTTATATGAATAAATTGACAGAGTGGTTTTACTTTTGGTTCTATATTGTGACCAATCCTTTTATTTTGATATGCTCATTTCCTCAAGGAAGGTCTCTACAAAGCGGGACGTTGTCCGAGCTCTTATTCAACAAGGATTTTCCAATGATGTGGCACAGGTACATAACTATGGTATACTTTGATATTGGTTGCTGTTCAATTTGTGTGTATTCTTATTTGGTTACAGTGACAGGAATTTTGGGTTTATGATGGTATGCAGTGTTAGAAATTTCATGTTTATTGATAGTAGGTGTCAGAAATTTCGTGTTTAGTGATAGTTGGATACTGTATTTTTTTCTTTATTCAATGATCATGTTCCAATATTGGTGAAGCTGATGCCCAGGAAGTATTTAGTCACTATCCCCATTACCACTCGGCCCTTCAGGTTTTCACCGTCGTTCTATTCTAGAATGCTATCGTAAAAATTATAGAATGCATGTTCATGGTAAATTATAAAGGCATTCATTAAATTCTAAAGTGAAAAGTTAATTAAATTGGCATCAAGTGATGGAAGATGTTTATAAAGTTGCAACAGAATAGAAGATCTTTAATAGTCAACACAGCCTGAAGATGAAATTGAGTTAGAAAATCAGTCCAACTGTAGAACTAATCTGTATGTGATAAACATATCTATGTTAAATATACATAGCTGAACATTTCGGTTTTACTCCTTTAGGAAAGTTCAGTTTGTTTGTCTATTCTGAATTGTACCAGATCTGTGATTGTTTCATTGGACTATTGATTAAACAAAATTTCAAGAGCTTTGTGTTCTTGATGAATAAGTTGGATGCAAAACAACATAATTCATGTTAATATAAATAAAGATAAAAACAATAGATATTTTGGCAATTTTTATCCCTCTATTAATTTTTATTTTTTTCCTTCTGGTATCCGTGTAGTGGGTTGTGACTAACCTGCGACCTTCCAGCTCTCCTGGTTCACAATCGTCAAGCTTCTCATGGGTGTTTGACCTAAGGGGAATTGCAGAAATGTATCAATCCTACGAAGAAACAAATTTGTGGTACCTACTTTGATCTATGATGACACTGCTAGCTGTAGTATATTTGATTTATCGGTTTTACTTCTTTGGTTGAGAGGGGTTCCTTCGTGCCTTGCGTATGAAAATTAGAATGACAGTGTCAGGTCCTGTATCAGAATGATTGTTAATTTTATCTTTTGTCCGTATTGCTGAAGAAATAATTCCCTGGTTAGTGTATTTACTGATGCCAGGAGTAATGATGTGCGCAATCACATCTTCCACAGGAAAGATTGTGTGGAACTAATAATGCTTTATGCTTCTGTTCGTAGGAAAATTGTTGAAGATGTACCTCGTGGGGTGCATATGAACTTTCTGAAAGCAGAAAGAAGCTTGCATAGATGGGCTCTTGAAGATCTTCGGAGGATCCATGCAGCTGAAGAGCTTGCTGCTGAGGAAGGAGGTGGAGTTGAAATGCACGTCCTTGAAGATGCTGGCCATTGGGTATGTTATGTCATACGGTTATTATGTTTAGAGCATGATCTCCTCCCATACGTGTCTTTCACCTTACCAGATCTATGCTATCTTCCAAAATACTTTCAACAGAGAATCCTAGATTTTAGGGCTGGTGATTTTATTTATTATTAATTATTGATATTAATGGTAGGTGCTAACCGGGCAACTTGAACCATGCATATATAAAAAGATTATTTATTGTTGTTGGGCACTCTGTTGTTGTATCAAGTTTTGGAATTACTTTATGTGGTTACATATTAATGATGGAATGAGGATGAATTGTGTCGTTTGGAGGTTGTTTGTGACAGCATTTAAAAGAGGACTGATTTACTTTGTCCATTAACAGGTTCATGCTGATAACCCGGACGGACTCTTCAGGATACTGTCATCATCTTTCGAGGGGGGCAAGACCTGAGTTTACAACTGTGTTTTGGAGTTCCTATTTTTATGGGATGAGATGGGATTGCCTTCAAAGTTAAATGCCGTTCCTTGTTCCCATTTTTTTTTTGTCTTCTTATCCCTTCTGTATATGCTATTTATTTTTTCTACTTAGATCTTCTTGTACATCACCGCAATAATTTTATTTTATTTTTTTAATCCTTAATATTATAAACATATTTCAGTTCTTTTGTACAAAATGCAGTAAAAAAAATCAGAATATATTTTTTAAATCAATGACATTTGAAAACTAATGCCATGGTGAATGTTCATTTTATATAACTAAATTTTTAATTAATTAATACTTCTAACTATATTAATTACATTATAATTAAAATGTACAATAAATAAACTTTTTAAATATATAAATTATATTTGAAATTTATGATAAAAAAATGTTAAAAATGTTGTTTTTAATTATTGGCAATTTCTTTTAACCAGTATTGAAACTCAAACTATAATTAAAAACATTAAAACTGATATATGGAAAGGGATAACTTTCCATTTGATTTGTACCTCATGTCTGCTCCAACACACCACGGTTTGTCTCTTTGTTCAGCTTATGTATTGCTTCATCCTGCAGAGGTACCCCATCTTCAAATTTTTGGGATTTTATCAATGACCATTGTGGTTCTTTGGTAGCAATTTCTCACAACACAGAATCACAGATTGTGACAGAACAGACACAGCAATTTAAAACCTTGGCAATGCCAGCCAAAGATCATAACACCTTTTGAAGGAAAAAGTGCAGTAGAGTCATCTTCTCTTTTCACTCCCTCTGCTAAACAATTATGATTTGTCATCACATTCTCAGTAATTTTTCTGGTTGATTATTTGACAGCATTGTTACCATAATTGCCCCAAACCTCCCTACCAAACTTACAGTCACCAACAAACACGAAGGATAGTTTCTTGACTTTCCTTCATTTTGATGTCACCCACCAAACCATGGGCGAGCAAAGTATGCCAGTCTACAATGCGCATTATTCATGGGAGTCTGGAACTTCCATGCAGAGGAAAAGCTTTTCTTTCCCAAGTCATCGTGGCGTGATTCTCTTATAAGATTGCCATGATTATCGGCTTCGTGTTGTATGCTACTTTGGTGACTGATCATGTTATTCATGTATGTTTAACACAAGCCCACATTCTATGTATTATCAATAATAGCACCATTTCTCCTGCTATGCTAATAAAAATTTTCCTATATAAAAACTATTATTTTCATGCCTTCAACCAATTAATGATGTTGCATTTTAATTTTCATCAATATATAGAGACAATGCTAATAATATAATATTGTCTAATACACTTGTTGTAATACATTCTTTATTGGTTGAATTTTTTTTAAAATACAACTTTTTAAAACCTAACTATACAGTATTTTATGTCTAAACTAATAAACTTGTAATTCTTAGTATTTAAAATAATGTTGGAAAGTGTATTAGTGTATACCCTCGTATAAAAATAAACTCAATCCTTTGGTTACTTAAAGGATATTTTATATTCTTTTAACATGGAAACGGTACATGTGTATTTATAAGGATGAAAACTCTCATTTTTTTTTCAACATTTCTGACTCTTCACTATCTTTTGTTTTGAGATTTTCATTATTATTATTATTCACCATCTTTTTGTCTCGAATTTCTAGTACCTGTAAAGAATACTCGTTCAAATCTGTGTTTCAGAAATAAGGTAGAATCTGTTAGCTACGATATCACTTGTATGACGAGGCTCTATCGACATACTGTGTAAGAAATATTTTAAATTTATTCAATAAAATTTAAATTAATATTAATGAAAATTAAAAATAGAATAATTATCTAAAATGAAACATATTTTTTAATATACATATATAAATATATATAATCATAAAATAGTCCTTACACTGCAATTTTTTTTTTCATAAAATCCTTTTGAATATTTGTAATGGTTGATTTATAATTAAATTTGACTTCTTACTCTGATGTCTAATTTTATGGTCAACAAAAATCAAAGGAAAAACGTTGATCCATATTTAATAAAATTATATGATATTTGTCACGGAAATCTTGTGGATAACAATATAAAAAATATTTTTTATTTTATTATCATTATTTAATATTCCCTTTCTATCAAATTATCATTACGATTAGATGAGAGACACTATCATTTTGTGGTGTCACCTTATCCTAAGAAAATAAAGAAAGAAAGAATAAAAAAGAAATGAAAGGATAGTTGTGGTGCTTAATCCGTTTTTGCAAGTTGCGAGGGAAGAGCGAAACTGAAATAAATAGAGATTAATTCATGCAGGTGACGTGGCATCTCCAAACACACTTTTTATTTACCCAAACCCAACCCCAACCCCTCAACACACAACACAACACAACGCAACACAAATTTCTGACTCTCATTCTCTCTGGATTCGACGCTTCTCTTCTTCCTTCCGTCAACGGCGCTTTCCACGGTGGCCACCGTAACCTCTCTCTTCTCCGCACTCTCTTATTCCGATTCCTATTATAAGTTCAGTTTCCCGAACGCTGATTTAACTCGCTTTATCGGCTCAACTTCTTTGTTGAATGTGTGAAATTTAATTGTATCGTTCTAGTACCGAGTTTTGAACTAGGATACGTTGATTGTTGAATCTTAATTCTGAACAGCAGGTAGGTTTCGTTTCGTTAAGATTCGCCTAATGTTGAAACTAAATAGTGTATGTTACTGTTACGATTTAGGTGATGATGGCGGCTTCGATTTATTATTTGCGAAAGAATGATTTTGTTGACTACCACGCACTCTAGGGTTTGGTTTTAGGTTCCTCAACCCGAAACTCTAGCCTGCATTATTTTTACACACTCTAGATGACTTAGATTGACCTTTTCTAATCCTGCTTTCCTCACTTCCCATTTTAGACGAGCTTCTCAACAAACACATGTAGGACAAAGAATAAGGATGTAAAACAAATCAAACTTTTGTCTTAAGTTGAAATCAACTCATTCATCTCACTTTTTTAGAAACATTTAATATTTCCGAAGTTGAAGTGCATAACATGATTCGATATTATTGGAGAAGTTGGATTGATTTTATCTTCCTATCTCTTCTTTTATATGTGTTTGTCAAGAAGTTTATAGGTGTTTGAATATTATTTTTTTCTTATTTAGGTCCTCATATTTGAATCCTGAAGACTTTTAGTCTCCCTTCATTATGTCCTTGTGTTCTCATCATTTCTGTTATTTCCTAATCAACCATTTCCACGTCCAAAGGGATAAGTTACTCATCTTGTTTTACATACGTTGTCATTGACTTGTTTTGGATAATTCTAATTTGAAGATTCAGGCTGTAAGCATTTTTTTTTAATAAAACTTGCATGAAAATGATATTAAAATTAATAGTTTTATAGAGATAACTTCTCTGATATGAAAATTCATTAGTCTCGGTTTTCAGGGTGAACCTTTCCAGTTTGTGGACTCGCTTTAATGTACAGAAGCGGCAATATTGTGGCTAGGATTTTTGATCGTCAAATTTGCACTCCTGCTCCTGGCACTAGTGTAATTTCTTCTCATTACCAATTATTTTTATGATTTTTTTTCTTAGAATTATTATAAGTGTTGTCTGCTTTAGCCATTTTTTTTGTTTATTATCTTGTTTGGTGAAGGATAATTGATGCAAACAAATTATGCTTAGTTGCATGAGTTTTTGATGTACTTCAGAAAAAGGGATTATTCCTTCCTGTTTTTTGGGGGAAGGGAATTGATGAAGAAGTAGCACAATGATTGGGTTGTAAGTTGTAATTGTAGGAAATGTGAACATCCCTGGTGAACTATCAAAAACATGAGTGAGGGAAGATAAATAAGGTTTTTCTTTGTTACATTTTTATAGCAAGGTTGGACAGTTTATTTGACTCTAGATGAGTTAATCAGTGTCAAGTACAACTTGATGTTTTTAAAGTTGAAGCTTGAAATGCAAAAGATATATCTATACCTATCTCTCTCTCTCTCTCTCTCTCTCTACATATATATATATATATAAGATGTGCCATTTTGAAAATTTGCTTTCACTTTATCAGATGGACAAACTAGTTTAGTCGGAAATTTTTGAATTTGTTGTCTTGTTCCTCTGTTGAAGGAACCTGAATTGAATTTAATTTTTGCAGGTGTAATTTAATTCTTGCAGGTTCATTATGCTCGGCGATTCTATGAAAATTTGGTACCGAGTTACACAGTTTATGAAGTTGAGTGCCCAGACCATTCATTTCGTAAATTCACTGATGATGGACAATACCTTATAAGTTTCAGCAGAAATCATCAGGAGCTGATCGTTTATAGGCCTAGATGGCTTTCTTTTTCATGCAAAGATGAAGATTGTGATAAACATGATTTGCCACCTAGAGCTAAGAGATTTGACAGTTTTTTCACCCAATTGTATTGTGTATCACTTGCATCTTGCAATGAACTTATATGTAAAGATTTCTTTCTTTACATGGAGAGTAAGCAATTTGGACTGTTTGCTACATCAACAGCCCAAATTCATGATGCGCCTGCTGCTGGAGGAGCTGTCCATGGTGTTCCTTCAATTGAGAAGATAACTTTCCACCTCTTGAGGTGCTTACTCACATTCTTTATTTATTTATTTTTTTTATTTTTTTTGTGATATTCAAAATAACAAGACAAATCATACTCTGATCATTCTGGATTTATATGTTTGTCCCCATTATTCATCTATTGAATTAGACTGGAAGATGGAGAGATCTTGGACAAGAAGGTCTTCTGCAATGACTTTGTTAATTTAACCCATAATATGGGTGTCTTCTTGTATGATGACCTATTGGCAATTGTATCACTTCGCTATCAAACTATACACATTCTTCAAATTAGAGATGCTGGTAACCTTGTTTATGTACGTGCTATTGGGGAATTCTGCCGTGAAGATGATGAGCTTTTTCTCAATTCAAATGCTCAGGTCAGTAAGCTTTTGTTATTGACTTTATTTGATTGTGTTTTGTTGAGCATACCATTACATAGATTTGTTGAGGTTTTTGAGGAAAAAAAAAATTACGTATTCTTTCAAGATCTTCTTGTGTCAGCTCAGTTGGTGGAACTGTGAGATGCAACAAGAGTGCATGGGTTCAAACTTCACAATTCACTCCACCCCATTTTCCATTCCCTTACCCTCTCTCCTCCCCTCGGGGCTTCTTTTAAAGATACTTATACAATTCAAGGGCAAGCCTTGGTGCGACCATAAGCAGGGGCGCCCCCCCTCCCCCAAATTTTAATTTTTAATATAAAAATTTTTAATGTTGTCCCCCTTGATATTGTGATTTGGTTCCCCCTCTGACCAAAAGGTTGCTGGTTTATGACTTAGAGGTCATGGGATCAAATCCTAGAAGCAACATCTCTGTTTTTAGGGTTAAGCTTGTGTCCTTTCCCCTAGACACCACTCTGGGTGAAAGCCCTTGTCCTTGTACACTGGGCTGTCCTCTAATGCTTTTACAGTTCATTTTTTAGAATAGCTGGGATGAGTAACATCATGGGAATGCTTTTCAATTCTGTTTCAGTGGTTCAAGTTAATTTTGTGATCATCTTTAATTGCCACTACAGCCCAATCAAACTTTATCAATTATGAAGCCATTCAAGCTCAATATTGATAATTCTGATGGGTTTGTGGCATTTTTAAAGAACTAAACTCACAAAAATATAGGCCAATCACTAATCATTCTGACAGGGCATGGCATTGTCTGACAAATATAAACAGCACCAGTTGCCTGGGAACCACATTGAAAATCACATGCATCAAGGCCAGCCTAATCTGGGGAATTCTTTCCTAAGTGGTATAAAACAGCGATTGCTTTCCTTCATATTCCAGGGGCTATGGAATGAAGAACGAGATGATACCTTGGTTGGTCTTCTAAATTTTCTTTTTATTGCTGTACAATATTCTCTTTCTGTATTTTATGACTTTTATTCTATGCTTAACGAGTACAGTTCTTATATTGTATTGGAAGGTTTATGAAACAACCTATTTCGGTTTCTTTCCTTCCCCCCCTCTCATATGCTGAAATCTCTTTCATTAGAACAGCAATTTTTTAATATCTTGTGTGTTATATGCTGTCACTTTACCTTTGAACATTGTTTGTTGCTCTATATCCTTATTTCTGTGTCTTAACAGGCACATACATCTGTGGGAAAGAGGAATGCACGGTGATTGTTGAATTGTTGTCCAACACAGTCATTGTTATACATACATGCACACATTTCACATTAATTTAAAAGGAGAAATTACACTAAAGGAATTTTTGGTAAAAATATTTCCATTTTAAGAATCACTAACCACACAACCAGTTAATCATGTTCAAAGAGTGGTTTACTGAATAATAACCTATTGGCTTGATTAATCACTTGTATGCTTAATGATTCCTGGACTATGAACACTTGTACGGTACCTTCTCTGTAATTTTCTGTTGTCTGCATTCCCACATCATTATTAGGAAATTGTCTAGCATGAGTACGCATATGGAAAAGTAAATATTCTAAAATCTGAAATGCCAGGCCTACATATTGCGGCAATGCATTTTGTAATGATTAAAGAAATGGTTCTTGGTGTATGAGTCTGTAGGCAAACATATATGTACCTTTTTAATTGTTTACTCTTTCCATTTTTTCTAATTACTGTTTTGTAATTTTTACTGTCTTTATTTTCTGGGTTCCCAAGTCATGGCTATTGTGCATATGTGACCTAGCTCTGTATCTTTTCAATTCTTTGTTTTACTATTTAAAAATTAATTTTTTATTATTATTTCCCCCTATTTACCAGAGGATTCAAGGGCTTAGGAAGAAATTTTACTTCCACTTTCAAGATTATGTTGATTTGATTATCTGGAAGGTAGGATCTTTGACATATTTTATGCATCTTAAATGGTTTTGTCACAGCTTTATCATCTCAAGAACATTTGACTAATGGATTAAACCTTTATGTTTTTCCTCTGTTCATACCATAAGGAATGTAACATTACATCTACTCAATTCATGGGCAGGTACAATTCTTGGACCGACATCATTTGCTAATCAAGTTTGGTAGTGTAGATGGAGGGGTGAGTTCTCTGTGTGTCTTTCTCTTTTAACTCTTCATATTCTTACTGTACCCCTAAGAAAAAAAAAAACTTCTAAGACTCTGAGGAGTAGGCCAAAGCCCAAATATAAAATCAAAATTTTATATCATTAATTGTTTACTTTAGCTTGAGTATGTGGCCGTGCTATATTTCAAGTGAAGTTCTGGGTTCTCTGTAGGAGACTCCACCTCACTATAGAGATATTTGGTTGAAACCAGGGTCAACCTATGTTGTTGAAAACTATTAGTGTCAAGGGTTAATGTTTAAATTTTGATGCTGATAACTAAAATGGTAATTTTCCTTTAAGTTTCCCCCTCAAAGCTAGTTTCACCGGCCTATCACTGAAATTTAATTTAGTTATCAGACTGGGTTAACAAGGATGGAATTCTTGATCACTAGGTCATGGAGATCTCATATAGTCATACCATGTTAGGGACTAACTCTTTAAAGTTTTACAGTTAAGTGGCTCCAAGCATGACTTCTAATATCTTACAATTTGGTACAATTGTAAAAAATGGTCAGGGCTCACGTTTAGTTCATGGAGATCTCATGCAGTCATACCATGTTAGGGACTAACTCTTTAAAGTTTTACAGTTAAGTGGCTCCAAGCATGATTTTTAATACCTTACAATTTAGTACAATTGTAAAAAATGGTCAGGGCTCACGTTTAGGTTTTTATCTGATTAAACATTCCAGCCTGGAGTTTGAGTGGAATCGTTCTCTATCGAAGTAATATGACAAATGTGTTAATCTTTTATGCTTTCAAGCCTCAGGTGTCACGAAATGCTGATCACCATCCAGCTTTTGTTGCTGTATATAACATGGATACAACTGAAATCGTATCATTTTATCAGGTAAATTTGTTTTTCGTTTTGTTCTATTTTCTTCATGGGTTCTGTTCTAGTGTTTTGGTGTTTTCACTGACTCGGTTTAACATCTTATCAGAATTCAGCAGATGAGCTTTATCTGTTGTTTGAGCAGTTCTGTGACCACTTCCATGCAACATCAAGGAATTCAATGTATATGAATTTCATATCTTCTCATTCAAACAATATTCATGCACGGGAACAGCTTAGGAGCATAAAGGATAAGGCAAGCAATCCTTCACAGGTAGTGAGCTGTTGGTTGTATCCTACTAATCACTCACCATCTCTGTCCCTGTCCCTTCCTGGATAAAAGGAAAGCCAATGTACGTGATGTGCTAAAGAGTTCTGTATATATTTTTTGGTTGTTGTTTTGCAGTTTGTGAAGAAGATGCTTGCCTCATTGCCTTTCAGCTGTCAGTCTCAGAGTCCTTCTCCTTACTTTGACCAGTCTCTTTTCCGGTTTGATGACAAGGTTTGGTGTTTGTTTGTTTCTCTATTTTTCATGCAGTGACCAGAATTTTTTAATTAAATTATATTTGGGACAAAGTTGGGTATAATACTTATATACACACATTAAACACACACACATGCACAACTATCTGCTAGCTAAACAATAGATGAAAAAATTCTCAGTAATTAATAATGCACACAATATATGTTTTTTCACTTTTGTACTTTTGTTTCTTTCCCATCATTGCAGCTGATTTCTGCAACTGATCGACATAGGCAGTCAACTGACCATCCAATCAAGTTTATTTTAAGGAGGTATCCATATCCTCTCAAATTCAAGATCAAACCAGGTGCGCTTTTTCTCCTTTTCAAGCTTATTGCATTCTAAACTTAAAAATAACAAGATTCTTTTACTTTCGAAAGTGAAGTGAGGGATGGGATGTTGGTTTTCTAATATGGAGGATGCATGATAGAGTGAAATGCATGGGTAATTGTTTACGAAATGAATCAACAAGTTATCCACTCAACTTTCATCTGTTTTCTGAACATGAACTTAAGAAAAATTATTTCATGCTTCAAATTTATTATTTAGGTCCTGAAGCTGGTAGTATGGATGGTCGTGCGAAAAAGATCTCCTCGTTCCTTTTTCATCCAATTTTGCCCCTTGCCCTCTCCGTTCAACAGACTTTGTTCTTGCAGCCTTCAGTTGTAAATATCCACTTTCGAAGATGAGCTTAGAATTATAGATTAAAAAAATGAGTGTAGATTTACTTGCCTTCCACTTCTGAATCAAGAGGATGTATATTCAGTCGGTACTTCCAAAATGTATTTCAGTAAGATTCTAATGATTGCTGTGACAGTAAACGTACGTTTAAATTTTTGTCATTTGATTTCAAAGTTTAATGGCTATCTGATATCAGAAATATATAGATTCCTCGTATTCAATTCCTGTTATGATTAATTTTTTTATGTAAAATGATAAACTAATTTTATCAATTAAAAAGTATGGAAAAACTCTTATTTGCTCCAGTAGGTTGGTTGTCTCCACTCAGTTATCAGATAGGTTTTATCACATGGTTTTCTGACTTCCTTTATTTATACGCTAGTTTAGCTTTTCGATTACACATGATTTAACCATTATATTGCCTTAATATGAAATATATCTATTCATAAAATTATTTTGACAAATATTAGTTAAATACTCAATTCCATTTTAATTATTTGCATTTGGTTGAGCATAATAGTTATTGAAGTATAGATTTTATGTGAATAATCTTAGAAAAGGGGTGATACAAATGTTGCACTCGAGTTAAAATTAGAAAAGATTTTCTTCAGAAAAAAAACGGGCTGTGTGGATCTTTTTCATAGGTAGTCTATAATTTATAGTCTATTTTGTTTATTTTTTTAGATTTAATTATTTATTAATATTTTAATTTTTAAACGCATATTATTAACCTTATCTCTTAAGTCACATAATTTAAATTTATATGAAGTAAATAAGAGATCACAATTTCAAACAGTTGGCCTCAAATATATTCATGAATGTAGGAGGACAATCACAAAAAGTTACAGCATAACAATATATACTCTGTTGCTAGGCAAATATGTTAACATGATAATCTTGGACCTAAAGTAAAGGACACTGAACTGGGAATGTTCTAATGATATATTGCTCCACCGCGGGGGCCTTCAACTTCTACTACTAAAGAGGTCTCTAAGATCAAAACATAGCATTGGAATTGAATATTTGGTCAAATTCAGGTGACCACCACAGGTGTAGGAGCTCCTGAAATTCTGATGTAAGATTGAGTTGAATATGTGGTATGTGTTCCGAAGGGGTTATTATTATTGTATGTTTGGTTGAACCCTGACCACTTCATTTGCATGAAACCACTCTTCCTCCATGGCCCCACGTGCATTTTCTTCTCCTTCATTGATTTCTTTGCAGCATTGCACATTACTCGAATTATCGCAGTTAAGTACTCCGGTTTTCCAATATAATATTCAGGCAAACAGGACACGAGTTTCTTGTATTTTTCACCTGCTTTTGCTATCTCAAACTCCTCCCTCAATTCCAATTCGATCAGAAGATGGATCTGCTTCTTCCCCGTTGATGTTTTTGCAATCACCTCAATATATTCGTGACACCCTAACACATTCAATATATCAATTTAACTCAATACCCTTTGTTTCAAAACAACATTAAATCTTTCTTCTACACATTTACCTCCTGGAAACTTTTTTGTGGTTTCCCATTTTGATGCACAAAGGTTTGTTGTGAATCCTCTGTCTCGCAGCTCCGTCACAACTTGTCTTCTCAAACAGGTGATGCAATCCAAAGAGTTAGTCTTAAAACACCTGCAAAAATCTGAAGCTTTCACCTCTTTTATGATTCGACCAACCTCTCTTCTCAATTTTGATCCACTTAGATGGTACCGCTCCAAAATTTCCTGAACACAAATTAAATCATTTTCTTTTTCGTTACAAAAAACATTTTTTTTTCATTATCAGATACTTTTTTGTTTATCAAGTAAACTATGCTAATATATTAATTTAAAAGATCATGGAAGTGAAACTGAATATCTTAAAGGAATATTCGAATACTTTAAAATATCAAATAATTGGTGTAATATGAATTTTATTTAGATGAAAGGATAAATATATAAGAATACTATATTCTTTTTTATTTCTGTAGCCAAATATTATTATAATTTTTCATCTCAATGCACGCGTACTATGAATTTATGGGAGGTTTCGTGAATGACCACATTTAAGATGTGGTGCAACTTTAGCAAGTTGTCACTGATCACCACCACCAAAAAAAAGCAGAAAAGAAAATATCAACTCTACCAATTAATTTTTGTTAAATGCTATCCCCAATCCTTCAAATACAAGGATACAAATCAACACCAATCTTCTCAATATCAGACAAAATCAATAATTTCTTCTCTTACTTTTTAAAGAGACTAATTTATGCAGCAAATTAACCTACTCTGCCAAAACCGACCAATCAAATGGCTAATATATCAGAATGAATATCTGAGGATGTAGATTCAGATTGAGAACAAATTCATTCCATGTTATATATTGTACCCTTAAATCAATTGGCCAGAAGGGTATTTGGTTCTATTTTATTTGGCTTTGATTAAACCGGAATTAAACCAAAAAAAGTTTCTTGAATGAGTATTGAAAAACGAGGGTATGCATATCCATGTACCTGAAGCAGTGCAACCTGAGATTCCCAATACAAAGTCCTATCAGGTGAGTCATCAGAATCGCAGTTGTTTTCCCACCATAGATCCTCCTCCTCCCCATGGAACTCTGATTCATTGGAATAATTGGCATGGAAATGATAACATTGTTCATCAATGAACATAAACACTTTTTCTTCTAAGCTGTCCATGCTGGCCCTTAATTTCCCTCTTCAACAACACCAGAGATTAACTCCACCCTTAATTTCTATCTCATTCGTGTGCAGCACCATGCAATTACAAATGAAGGAACAATCTCAAGTTGGTGGAAGAAGAGACCATAAAAAATAATGCTCTTCTTACAACAAAATCAACATCTCTTGGACGTATTTATAGGCATAGGGTTTGCCTTATGATATAGATGCATGTGGCGTGTGTATATGATATCATCAAAATAATGGACATGCATGACGTTAGGTTACTGTTACCATCCAATTGCTATTTCTTATGAATGCTTAATTGTCCATCATCATTTTTCAGAAAGTCTATTTCCACCTATCCAAGACAAAACTTATCCACCCACATTTTAGCAAAATGTCTCTTCAAATAAAAAAATTCATAACCACAATAATTCTATCATCATAATTCAAAGATTTAATGATTTGTCGGTTACTGTTTCAGACTTTAACTTGGTGTTAAATTTGTCTTAAATAAAAAAAAAATACATGACAATAACACTAAGGATCTTTTTTTTCCTCACAAATTACTACTATTAGCCAGAAATAAGCATCTATATTTAAATTCCCCCACAAATAGCCGGAACTAGTAATCAGTGGTTGATTTCTCAGTTGTTTCTTCTGATATAAATCATTCAATTTTCTTGATCTGTTTTCCTCTAAAATGGCGAAGAATATTTAACTAGCCAAGAAAATATCTAGTACATTTATCTTTGAATAAAATAAATGCTTGTGTATATATGTATATGATTGTGATTGAGAGCTCTGCATAATATCAAACTAGCTACCACAAATGAACGTGTGGTGTAGCTGTACGAAGTCATGATCAAGCACCAATCATGAACCAAAATATCTGTTCTACACTGCTGCACCAATCTCAACATCAGGACCACTATTCTATTTCAGAACCCCAAAATCAGGTTAACATTATACACATTCAAGTATTGAACCCCTACTCATCTATTTTACACCTCCATTGAAAATAGAAAGTAAATTTCTCAGCCAAGGAATATGCATACTAACTATACTTTTGCTAACTATGGCCTTTGTAAAAGATTCTTTCTGGATTCAAATTTTTGACCAATCCGAAGACTATACACTGTTCTGTTATGGTTCTTCCTCAAAGCTAATGTGTCTCAGTGAGACTTTGTAAAAGTATAAATTATTTCTTTAATTTCAAAAAATATTGTTAACTTGTTTTCCTGTAAGTTGTAAGTTCATACAACTCTCTCAAGAAACTTATTGAAATAAATTAAAGAAAAAAAATCATGTACGGAAAATCATCTTGTGATTTATGAAAGTTTCCCTCCTCAAATAAGTTATTAGTTATTAGATACTTTAGCTTTTACTTGAGAGTTTTTACTCTCATAACCTAGTTTATTTGTAATCTTCTTTTGGACCTAGGTCAATTGAATTCCCAAAAAAAACTGAGTAGTTAGTTTGAATCAATTTAAATTTAATTAAAGAGGAAAAACTTTTCTTGCTAATTATTTTTGGACGGGTTGGTGGACTACATCCCAATAACTTTTTTTTTATATATATAAAATTGTTTATATATGTTTTTTATAAAAATATATCTTTAATTATATAAATAATTTTTAAATTTTTATTTATTAATTAATTTTTTTATTAAATAAATTTAAAATTATTATATTTATATATCAAAATAATTAATTATAATTAATAATTTAAATTTAATTAATTAGTTTTTATAATTTAAATAATAATATTATAATATATTTTATATATTTTAATAACATAATGTAAAAAATATAATATTTTTTATTTTAATTTAATTATATAAATATTTTTTTAAAGTTGATTAATAGACTAAAACTGCTACGCCGTCTTTTGGTAGAATGACGAACCCACATGCTGAATCTTCCTCTTTTGTCATCCTTATTGACGCTTAAAAGCTTTTTATTTTTGTCCAATAAACACTAAAATCTATAAAGGAAAGAAAGGAAACTCTAAATATCTATGGGCTATAAATGAAAGGCCTAGATGAATATTCACTAGGATCATTTTGGGCTTTATTTCAAATCAAATACTTTCTTCCTACACCCACCTAATTTCTCCTTGTACTTTCATGTTCTAAGTAAAATAATTAATTAAAATATTCTTTCAATAATTTTTGTTTTAAACTCTAATTCTTTATTCTATTTTTCTGTGAAAATTCTATTACTCGTCTTTTATATATTTGGTTTCTTGTATTATCACTTACATTTAAAATCTTTCAACATTTAAATATTAATAATCTTAATATTATATATTTATTACATGTATTCTACACTAAAAATATACATTAAGACCTAAATTATTGGATTTAAAATAATTTTGCAAAATTAAATTGAGTTTCAAAATACCTAATTTATAAAATATTTTCAAAAACACATTTTGAAATACCTATTCCATAATGTACTGGGTGTTCTGAAATATTTTTCTAAAAAAATTAATCTAAAAATACATTCTATAAAAGAATTTGCAGAAAGTTTCTGAAATATATTTTCAGAATTGATTTTTCAAAAATATTTTGGATTTATAGGTCTAGAATAGATTTTTGGAATATTTGATTTTTCAAAAACATTTTGGATTTATAGGCCTAGAATAGATTTTTAGAATATGTAATCCGTAAATGAATTTCAAATTCACCGTTCGAAGTATATTCCTAAAAATTAATTTAAAAAAATATATTTCTAAACCTATTTTTAAAATTAGATTTCAAATTTATATTTCCAATGTATAAAGATACAGATAAGTACAAATGTAAAAATAAAATAGAATTTAATTTAAGAATGAGGATGAACTAAAATAAAGTACTTAAAAGAAATAGTGTTTCTTAGATTTCTTAACGTATTTATATAATGTAAATAAGTGTTTTTATTTAATTTAAACTTCTACTTATATAACTAAGAATACCAAATATTTCCAAACAAAATTATCACTTCCATTATATTTGTGAAATTTGTTATTTGGTATTGCCTTTTTTATGATTCCAAATATTTAAATAATAATTTACTTAAAAATATTCCATGTAAAAAAAACGAATGAATAAAAATTCAAATAAATTATATGGTTTAACTGATTAGTTTAAGAAGTTTTAGAATTGGTAGAATTAAGATGGTTGATTGAGATTAGTGAGAGAAAAGAGATGTGGCTAATAAACTAAGTTCATTATCCTCATTCTTCTCTTTTGTTTTGTGTGGATGCAAATGCAATGATGCTTCACTTTCTCTCTCCAACACCCAAACTCCATGGCCGCCAACCCTTTGCTCCTTTCATGCTCCAAAACCCACATTCTCCGCCTCCCCACCACTCCCAACCCGCCCCTTCTCTGCCGCCGCCACTCTCCTCTCAACTCCCTTCTCCGTTACCGTTACCGTTACCCCTCTTACGCTCCGCCACTCACATGTAAAGCGGCTCAAGTTTCTGTCGCCGAAGAGTCATCGGCGTCCGGGGACAATTGGGTTCCGGTGGTGCCGCTGGCGGCGCTGCCTAAGGGGGAACGGCGTGTGATCATTCAGGACGGGGAGACCATACTACTGCTGTGGTACAAAGACCAAGTTTTTGCCATTGAGAATAGGTCCCCTGCTGAAGGCGCCTACACTGAAGGCTTGCTCAATGCCAAGCTCACTCAGGTCACCTTCACTTCGTAATCTTTGCACATTTCATTAATTATTATTATTAGATTGAAAAGGGCTTCATGGATTGAAGAATAAATGTATTGTAGAGATGTGGTATCAATGATATCTTATATGAGCATTTTGAAAGTGGAACCCCAAACTGTTTGATCAAACTACATTATCAGTATCACTCAGCAATGAACTTGGGATAAAAAACAAAGATTCTGTTTTACATGTAACAACTATTGACTTGGTCCTTCTGATTACCCCCTATATTAAGTTGAATTAGTTATTATACGAGAAAGAAAAAAAGTTTTAGTAGGACAGAAAATTACAAGTTTTAGTCCTTACAGTTGGATGAAAGTTAATCCATGAAGTCCGAATACTTCAAAAATGATAAAGTAGTACGCATGTTAGATACATACTCGAATACTTCCAAACACGTAGCCATTTTTTTTTTCTAAGCTATTGTTTGAATGATTTCTAGTAGTATAGGAAAAGCTTGCCTTAAGCTTCTTGAACAACCATCTTATTTTGTTATGAGAAATCGGAGTATAAAAGAGACCCAAAATGGATGTGAAAAGGACTGAACATTAGGTTTATAAACATTTCAATCTTCGACCTTTCTCTAGAAAATGAAGATATTATTGTGTAAATAATGAGAAACAAGGTTGTGGAACATTATTGGAGATATAATGGTGTTGAGCTGTTAAATTGGGTCGAGTTATCCCTCAATGAACTAAACTTAGAGCATCTCAAAGAGTTTTTAACAATAGTTGTTTAAGAATAAAATTGAATATTTTATTATGGGTCCCACAGTTGAGTTGTTTAAAACTTAGTAAGAGTTGCTTGTCCAAACAATTTTCTTCTAATTTTAAACAACTTTCTCCACTTTTAAGCAACTCAGATGTGGGATCCACAATAAAATATTCATTTTTATTCCTAAGCAGCTCTTGGTAGCAACTTCCTTTGGATATGCTCTTAGAAGCTATATTTTCTTTTTGTTTTGGGTGATAGTAGGAGTATCTCCAATTTAAGGGTATTATAGGAAACTTTCATTAGGTGAGGGTCTTAAAATTAAGACCCAAGCCTTGAGAAAAAAATAAAAAAAAATTCGATAACATGTCTTCAAAACATGACATTAAATTAATATTTAATTATAATAATTAAATTAATTTTATTTGTGAAAAATTGAAGTGTAAATAGAAATTTTGAAAATGTGGGTCTTATATGATCTCACCATTGAAGTAAAACTTTTAAGAGCTATTAAAATGATGTAATATGATAAGACTCACCAAGTAAAATAAGACCTCGTTATAAGATCATTGCATTATAGATGCTCTAACATGAACGAGAAATGATAAAATTAGCATTAGATGGTAATTAGGCATTGCTTTTGAATTATAAATTGTCATGGTATAGCCAAGATTTGTTATCATACAAAAAAAAACTATATTTTTTTGTTATAATCACACTTTTTATAGTTATGAATTTACGAAGGAATATGATATGAACCTCATTTGCACACGGACTGACTTAGAATCTTCAGGGTTAGAACCTTGTAGGAAATTTAAGAAATTAGTGAGAAGGTGGAATAGAAAGTGGTGAAAGTTTCAGGGTTGAGCAAAATTTTAAAATCGTCGATATCTCAAGTTATAAAACTCCGATTGAAGTGATTAAAAAACAAGACGAAAGTTCTCGTTCTGAATTTCAATTTAGGTTCAAAAAACACTCAATTTGGATGAGTAGAACGAAAATTATGACCACGAAATAAATCTGGGCAGAATTGAGTTTTCTGGGTTTTGGTGAAGAAAGGACAAGAGATGAATGTGAAAGGTCGAAGGAAAGAATCACTCTTCCCAAGAGAGACAACTCACAAAGGATGTGAAAGTCCTTTGATATAACCAAGAGTTCTTGAATCACTCAAGAACTTAGAAAAATCACTTTCACCAAGATAAAAGAGCTAATATTTCTGAATAAAACTCAACTTGTAATTTTTGATAAAAATGGTTCAGCTTGTATAGAAAATTTGCCATCAGAGTTACAAAAATTCAATTAGCTATGCACCATCTTGGTCTCCCAAAGGCTGATGCCTAAGTTTTCAATTGGACCCTTATTACAACTTGAAACAAAACCAAACTAAAACCCATTAGTACTCCTTCATTTGGGTCATGATGCAATTCACAACTTTGGTTTTTTCTCCTTGAAATATGGGCAACACTTGTTGAAGAACTTCTTTTGTTTCCTTTGCTCTAGTTCTTGTCATAGGTCCTCCAAGTCCGTCAAGTGGATCCTTGCCCTTACTCATGGTCATGTCCTCATCATCAATATCTCTTTCTTTATCAATATTTTACATGTATATAAAATGTTATAAATTTCTTTAATATATTCATGGTGTATCGGGTCTTAAATTTTAATTCTTATGTCCCCATATCCGTGTGGTATCGTACCTATATCATAGTAACTAACCTGGATTCATAGAAGTTAAGTCTTGATTTCCCCTGATATCATCAGAAAAAACTGATACAAAAATTTCCCACTACAAATAACTGTTCAGAGAATAACAATTAAAGTTTCTTCTTACAGGGACTAAATCATAGAATGATGACAATTACAGGGACCGAATGAATAGTTTAACCTTTATAAACTTACACTACTAACTGCTTGCCCTGGCAGCATGATGGTAACATAAAACATGAGATGGCAAGATCTTTCCTTGTGTTTCCACTTTGTTGTGTTTGTTTTGTTTTTTTTTGGGTGGATAAAAAAATCTCTTTCAGCATTATGCTGAATAAATTGGCTATTGAGTTAACTGGTTAATGATTATTTGAATATCCTGTGATGAATGTGTTCATTAGTCTTGCTTGACTGATAATGGGATGATCTTTTACAATTCCTTTCCTTATGCAGGATGGGTGCATAGTTTGTCCATCAACTGATAGCACATTTGATCTGCAAACAGGAGATATCAAAGAATGGTATCCGAAAAATCTTGTTCTGAGAGTACTCACACCCGCTTTGAGGAAACTCTTTACCTATCCTGTGAAAACAGATGAACAGAATATTTATATCAGCCTGAGAGGTGGGAAATCTGATGCTTCTGCTGAAATTGTCTTTAGTGGGAAGGCTCAACCCGGTGTAACAGCAACTGATGTCAATGTTGAAGAGGTAACAACTATAACACACTGATAATTAATTTGGACCAATGCTAACATTACATAGCTGTCCTTTTCCCTTATTAGCTAGTTGTATGACATGGTTAGGTTAAAATGGTTGTTGATGAGGATCAAGAAGGTTTTGGTTTTACTGGGAAGAACGAAATAATAAACGGGAGAGCAGCAGTTATTGGTTTCCTCCTGTTGTTGGATTTTGAGCTTTTAACAGGCAAGGGTCTTTTAAAGGGAACAGGTTTCTTGGACTTCTTATACTCAGTCACTGATGCTTTCAATTAGACATCATATGTGCTATTTCAGCTGTGAGAACACTCATCTGATCCTCTGCAGGATAATATGTCCTGTTAGTATTCACATTTCCATTTTGTATGTCCTGTATCTAAATATTGTATATCGTGAGTTTAGATCTTGGTAAATGTAAAAGCTTTTGTTTTGTATTTTGATGCCATGCTCTGTATACCATACACATTTTTAAAGTTCATATTTGACAGTGACATTCCAAAATTTGGTCTTCTCTTTTTCATTTAATGGCTTTCTTCAAATAGGGCTCTACCGCGACATTTCTTCTTACGGGATAGTTGATCACCAAGTGCTTGTTTGGTTTGTGATAGGAATAGCTGGCTTTTTTAATGTTTATAGCTTTACATTTATAACTTTTTTTAACAGGTGCTAATTTCTTAATCAAACAAATGGTCACCATGTGTTTGAAGAAAGGTGATATTTTCATGAAGGAGTCTCAGTAACATACATTTTGAAATACACTGTAATATATGATGTGAAAAGGTTAAAACGAAGTTACCGAAACAAGCATTGTGTGTGTGTGTGTATACATCGACACAAAATACAGATTTGGATTGGAAATAGTTTGTCATACCTCATCAGAAAAGGATAAATTTGCACTTTCTGCGTCCCCTGAAACACGTAATGTGCTTCAGATATTTGTTGTTAGATGTGGTTGTGATTAGTTTTGTAACCCAGCTTGAACTCGTCAACAGACAATTATTCTCTTAACACAAGTGGCTCTAGTTTTGGATGAAAATGGATCTGTCAGAACGTCTACTAATCCCTGGAATAGTGTGTGAATAATGTGTGAATAATGTATACATAACCAATAAAGTTTGGTGAATGTCACTATTAATTTGAACCTAATAATGTAAAGAGCTTAAATGCAGATAAATTCTGAATTTATTTGGAGGCATTTCCCATTTATTTAGCTGAAAGTGACGATTAAGAAGTACAACCGCGCAATCAAAACTCATCTCCATGCAAGCAAACAGAAAAAGAACAAATTTTTCACTTTTTGAATGTGCTTTAGATGTTCGTAATATGATGTGTTCTCATGAATGGCTGAACCCCACATGAACTCGTTCACCGTTCCCTTAACACAAGTGGCACCACACACACCATCTATCACCATCATATCCCTGTCCTTCACCATTTTTAATAAAGAAAGCCAATATGATATTTGTCAACGTATTTGATTACAAAAAAAATAAATTACATTTATTTTTAAAATTATATTTTGACAAAGTAGTTAAATAGCTTGACCCAAGTTACAAACTATTTTCTACCCATTTCTCATATTTCTGTTATTAAATAGTATGAAAGAAGAGCAAGAAAAGGTCTAAGAAGGGTTGAACACGACATTAACCCATTACATCAAACTTTATCTCATGACGTCACTCGTGAGATCATCATATCCACGCGCCATTAATCATACCGACTCTTTTTGGGCCACAAAATCTGGCTCCACGTAGTTTTGTGTATTTCATGTCGCGGAACTGCGCGTGGGCTTGGTAAGCAAAAACTAAAAGCATGTTAATGAAATTCCACCTCTCATCGTGTTTTCGACAAGTTGAAGACTCCTTTTCAATAAAAGAAATTGATCACGAGTTTAATTAAAATATATTAACAGGTCAATAACAAATCATTTTTAATTTAAATTTATGATAAAATTATATCAACAAAAGAATTGTTGGTTTTCCACACTAATTCAGAAAATAAAGCTAGAAATAAAAATGGTGTATTTAATAAAAAAAAATCATATCAACTAAAAATATATACTTTATTTCTATAATTGGAAAAAAACTTGATGATACTTTTTATAATACATTTTATAGTTTCTACAAAATATTTAAAATTTCTTTTTTCCTATTTTTATTTCTATTAAATATTATGAATTTGTGAATAATGGGGAAATAATTTTAAAGTGGTAAATCTATTATAGTAATTTGGTTGTTAAGTGGTTTGTTTGGTTTTTCCTTTGTCTCCCCCAACTTGGTGAGACTTTCATTAAATGCAAGCACAGACTCTCTTATATTATTGGTTCCTGTGGTGCAAACTCAAGATTTTAATTTTACTTTGACCTTTGAAAATTTTGACTTTCTATGATTCCGCCCACCTCTCACTGCATTGCCTCTTGCAAATTCATCCTCTGACTCTTAAATTCTTCAACCCTATATAAACCACACCATCTTCACCCTCTTCTCTCACAATATTCACCAAACTCAATTCAAGTTCAATAATCTCAGTTACCTAGATGAGTCGGATTTCACCACTGCATGCAACAAGTCCAACCAGGGGCAACAAGCTTAAGGGTGTTCGCCGTCGCAAATGGGGCAAGTGGGTGTCGGAGATTCGAGTTCCGGGCACACAAGAGCGTCTCTGGCTGGGAACCTACGCCACGCCGGAGGCTGCGGCGGTCGCTCACGACGTCGCCGTGTACTGTCTGAGGAGGCCTTCTTCCTTAGACAAACTTAACTTCCCCGAAACCTTGTCTTCTTACGGAGTTCAGCTGAGGGACATGTCTCCGAGGTCTGTTCAGAAGGTGGCTTCCGATGTTGGGATGGATGTTGACGCCAGAAACATTGCTGCTGGCAAAACTTCAACTGGGGTGGCACAAAGTTACGAGATTGAGAAGAAAATTGAGGAGAGGAATGATGTTGGTGGAGCAGGTGATGAGTCTTGGTGGGATGGTTTGGAGGGTGATGGTTGTGGGATCTGGCAAGGAAGTGGTGAAGATTGTAAAGAAAACGATGCCTTGAACATTTCCATCGAAGATTATCTTTAGCCGTGAGAAACAAAATTGAAGAAGAAATCTTCACTTGGTCAAGGTTTCAACTTCAGTTATCTTTTGTTGACCTTGATGTGTATAGTCTTGATAGTTACACTTACAAATTAAAAGTTAATTCTCTTGGTGTTTACAGGTCTGAAATCAAATAGCTTTTCGGCTGATGTAATTTGCGCTGTCCTTTTAAAGCAAAGAAAATGAAACTAAAAAGGCAGAGAAGAAACACCGTTTGCATTTGTGCACGTTGTTAATTCCTTTGGGAAACTACTCAAACTTGTGTGCGTTTACCTTTTTTTTAACCACAAAGTAAACTAAAGTTATTTGGGTAAAAGTTAAAAATAATGGTACTACCTTATTATGAAATAGAAACTGGTTATGTAACTATTTTAACAGTGAATAATTACTTATTTCTAGAACTAATCATATATATATATAGACCATCATCTGTTTAGAAAACATTTATTTAACTATCGTCTTTATTTTATTATATTATTATTTATTTATTTATCTTATTTTATTCTTTTCCTGTTACTTAACAAAAACAATTATTTTTAAGTTATATATTGTAGGTTTGAAAATTGAAGGTGGTAAAAAAAAAATTTATTCTATTTTGTTTTTTTAACCACTCTCACCTTGCTTTTTTTTTTTTTTAAGTTAGTAATTAAGTTTTTTATTCTTATTTTAGTTTCGTTTCTGGTATTTTTCATCCTGATCTAGTTTCATTTTATATTATTTTTAAAATATAACTAAATTTATAATAAATTAAATTTTATTTATATATATAAATAAATATTTATACTTTAATAATTTTGTAATTATTATTAATTAAATATATATTTTAATTTATTATATTTATATTAATATATATATATATATAATATTTAATCATTTTTTAATATAAATATAAAATATTTATAATATTATTATTATAATATTATATTTAAATATTTAATTATATATATATAAGTTAATTATTTTTTAAGTTATCACATAAAAATATTAATAAATATGAAATATATAATTTATAAAAAAAATATTTCATAAGTTAATTATTATTTAATTGGTGAAAAAAATTTTACTTATCAATTATTTTTAATCATTCAGAATATAATTATTTTATTAAGATAAAATTTAATATATAATAAATAGGAATAATTAAATTAAAAAAACATGATAAAATAAAAATAAAATAAAAATAAAAATAATATTATGTATTGTTAAAATTGATATAAAATATTTAAAGAAAGATAAAAGAAAAAAATTATAATTAAAGATTAAAAAAAATTAAATTGATTAAAAGGATAAATAAGATATAAATGAGTAAAATATTAAAGAAAAATAATAATATAATTAATTTATTAGTTGAAGAGATTGAAAAAAATAAAAAAATAAAAAATAGATACGAAAAAATTAAAAAGGTAAAATACAAAAGAGATTATTTTATATATAATGTAAAAAAAATATTAAAAAAATTAATATTTAAAAATTCAAATTTAAATATAAAATTAATACGGAAAAATATTCATCCATTCTTAATTATTTAAAGTAAAAAAATTCAAATTTAAGTACAATTGATTTGATTTTTCTTTGAAAAGGATGTGTGAGTTTAATTATCATAATTACTGGAGGGCAAATTAATAAATTAAAAATTATAAAACATACTAATTTACATTTTTTATTTTAAAAAATCCTTGCCTAGAGATGGAAATCCAATGCAGGAGGGCCTTAATAAAATTGAATTGAATCATAAAAAAGGCAGATTTTATTCCATGTGTGAAGGAAAATCACAACATGAGAACACAAAACATTAAGAAACAACACATTCAAATTTCAGAAGTATTTGCTTTACAGACGGCTAGTGTTCTTGTTGGTGAAGCTTCCCAAGGCCTTTGCCTTCTCCCTAAGAACAAATTTCTGTGTCTTGCCAGTTGATGTCTTTGGCAGTTCAGCAAAGACCACAGTTCGAGGAGCCATAAAATGAGGCAAACGATTCCGACAGAATTGGATTATCTCCTCTGGTGTGGCAGTGCAGCCCTCCTTGAGTTTGACAAATGCACAAGGTGTCTCTCCCCAATGATCGTCAGGTCTCCCAACAACAGCTGCCTCAAGAACTGCTGGATGGCTAAAAATCACTCCTTCTAACTCAATTGTGCTGATATTTTCTCCCCCAGAGATGATGATGTCCTTTGACCGATCCTTAAGCTCTATGTATCCATCAGGATGTTTAACTCCCAAATCACCACTCCGGAACCATCCACCTTTAAATGCCTCTTGTGTTGCTTTCACATCTTTCAGATATCCATTCATGACAGTGTTGCCCCTGAACATCACCTCACCAATTGTTTTTGCATCAGCTGGTACACTCTTCATTGTTTGAGGATCTTTAATATCCAGACCTTCCATTCCAACATGGGCCACTCCTTGACGGGCCTTGAGTTTTGCTTGTGCATCTCGAGACAGATTGTTCCATTCTGGTTTCCATGTGCAGATTGTCCCTGGACCATAAGTTTCTGTCAAACCATAGGAATGACTCACAACAAATCCTAGCTCTTCCATCCTAAAGATCACGTCCGGCGGAGGTGGTGCAGCACCTGTCATCACTTCCACCTTTCCGGGAAGTGGCTTCCGGACCTTAGGTGGTGAATTGATTATCATGTTTAAAACTGTTGGTGCACCTGCCATGTGGGTAACCTTGTGCCTAACAATATTGTCAAACATCCCTTCAGCAGTTACACTTCTTTGGCAGACATTTGTGCCACCCTGAGCAGCAATACCCCAAGGGAGGCACCAACCATTGCAATGAAACATGGGAACACACCACAGATACACCGGCATAGACCTCATATCGTTAAGCAGAACAGTAGCCAGAGAATTAAGATAGGCACCTCTGTGACTGTAGATCACACCCTTGGGGTTCGATGTAGTTCCAGAAGTGTAATTGAGTGAGACTGGATCCCATTCATCTTTTGGCCTCCTCACCTCGAATTCAAGGCTCCCTCTAGCTATAAGATCCTCGTATATCAAGGTTCCAGGAGGGGATAAATTGTTGCTAGAATGGGAAGCTGATGGGTGACCACACTCCAAAATTAAGACCAAACGGGGAAGGTTGGTGGTGGTTTTTGCCAGGATTTGAAGTGCCCCTTGAGCAATATCAAGTAATTGGTAATCAACAAAAATCAGTTTAGCCTCAGAATGTTTTAGCAACACCGAAACCATAGCAGAATCGTGACGTGTATTTAGGGTGCAGAGAACTGCCCCTGACATGGGAACAGCAAAATGAAGCTCATACATAGATGGAACATTAGGGGCCAATACAGCAACCTGACCAAACTCATAACAAGCCCAAATAATCAAAATTAGATCATTATGCAACATCTTCCACTAAAAGCAAACGAATCAGACTAAAAAGAAAAAAAGGGGAACAAACCCAAAGTATCATAACATAAAAAGGTTGGACTTTTTACCCACTCGAAGGATGAGTGTATGGTTAATTTGGAGGGCGAAGAAGAAGAAGAAGTGAAATTGATGAAAAGGGTAGGGAAAGAAAGAAACAAACCACATCACGGGGAGAAAGACCGGCACCGAGTTGAGAAATGGAAGAAGCGAGTTTGATGCAGCGCTGGTGGGTCTGTTGCCAAGTGTAGGTGACGTCGCCGTAGACGAGAGAAAGTCCGTGGCGGTAAACGACGGCGGCGCGCTCCAAGAAGGTGATCGGAGTGAGCGGAACGTAGTTGGCGGAGCAGCGGATACTTCCCTCCATCTCTCTCTTTCTTTTTTTGTCTGCGCTCAAAGTGAAAGCCTTCAAATGCCAAAAATAGGTACCAAACAAAACATTACCAATGACAACACTTTTCTTACTCCATTTTACTCAATCATCTCTCATCACGTGTCACTTCATTACTGTGCTCACAAATTTTCACCGAAATCTTATTCTCTAGGTTCATGTTTAACGAGAAAGTGATTGGTGGTATAACTGAAAAGAATTTTTATTTTTTTTAACAAAAAATATAGTAAAAAAATTGTTGAATTATAAATATTTGATTAAATTAAAAAGTAGTTAATAAATATAAAACTATATTACACGGTTATTTTATATAAATGTTTAATTCTATATTTTTTAAAATAATTGTATTTACAGCCTTTTAATTAGCTTAAAGATGAGTTATTTCAATTAAGTGGTCTATATAAATAATAAAACTTTGACTTACTTAAAAATAAGTGAATTTCAATCATCAATTAATAGAATAATATAAAATTGAAGATACCAATTATCTAAAGATGAGAAAAAAAGAAAAGAAAAAATAACACTATAATGTGTCCTCACGTCTCCACCCACCTTATCCTAAACAAATCATATATTTGATTGTGTCATTAACCGTGTTCCTTATCTTTTTCTCCTCCTTTTGTCTGTACGACGGAAAATGAAAAAAATAATTTAAAAATACGTTCTATACCAAAAAAAATATAATAACTATGACATGGTAGGTCAATCACTTACACGTAGGTCTAATATTTTCTTTTGAAATCTCCTTAAGTCAAGTTTTATTGAATATTAAAAAGAAATGTTTATTTATAAAAGCATTTCAGTTTTTAAGTTAATATAATAAAAATAATGAAAACATTTAAATAAAAATAAAAACAAATTAATCATTAAAAATAAAACATTTAAAGGAGTAAGAGGAACGTAGTTTGCGGAGCACTGGATGGATACTTCCCTCCATTCACCCCTTTCTTTGTCCAAAAACTGAAAACTGAAAGTGAAAGTGAAATATGTGATATGAGTGATAGATAAAAAATAGTTATATATATAATAAATAAATATAATTATAAAAAATATATTACTTACCAGGCATTAATTAATGGTCAAATTCTAAGTAATTATCCTTATTTTTAAATATTACCCATATTTACCTTTTTTAATTTTTTAGATTTAAAAAATAGAATAACAAACATTTGTGCATGTGTCACGAATGATTTTAATAAAATATTATATTTATTGGACAAATTATATATATATATATATATATATATATATATATATATATTAACGTATATTTTTATAGTTATCTGCTATTTTTTCTTCTTATAAATCCATTACAACGAGTTTAACAATTTACCTTATTTTAATTTGACTATATGTTGTATTGAATAAGTATAGTATTTAAAACATTTTATAAATATTCAATTAATTAATGTTGATAAAATTTCTGTATGATAAAAAATTATCGAAATAGCATTTTAATATTAAAATACTTGAATATGTATTACTCTCCCTTTGTTATTTAATAGAAGACACATTTTAGAAAAAATAAAGGATATTTTTATAAGATATTTTATAGTTTATTTGAAAAATTAAATTTCTTTTCCATGTTTATTCCTATTTAATTGTTTACTTCTCTTTTTCAACCCTATATATATTTGTTGGAGAATTTCTCTTACATGGTCATGGAAGGTATTCAACAACATATACAGCATAGACATGTAGATTATATTAACAAGATTCCATCCATACATTCAAATAATGCCATTATACAATCCCATAGAAAGAAAGGAAGGAAAGACAATTACAACATAAAAACTGTAGTATACCTTCCACGAGTTGGTCATACTCTAATCTATAAAGCTATAAACTATTTCCCTTTAGTTCCACGCAAGGGTGCTCCTCCTCCTCCGGTGTAGGTGAACTTGGAAAAGTGAGAAAAATGGCCATGTCTCACAGGCTATAAACAAAGACTGAGAAGATGCAATAACAGAAATCAAGGGGACAGGCTATGCCAGAGTATATACCTCAAGAAGGTAATTTGATCAATTTAAAGATTCAACCATACAAATTCACTATATAATAATATATTTACCAGTATTATTAGGCTATGACAACTTTACATTTGAGCAATCGACTGGTTGTGTTCTCTATCATGATAAATCATATTAACAAGACCCTCTTGGTCCAAGAAGGTCCAATATAAGGAAACAAGAAGGCATTTGAAAAGGTATTAAGTGATGCAGTGGCAATTGGAGCAATACCTCTATTAACTCATTATCTAAGCAGCTCCTAGGACTGCCCAACGCTTGCAACAACTCCACCTCATCTGGACTGATCCGATCAAATGAGCACTTCTTAGATCAACACAACCGAACAAATATTGAAAGCAACATTTTTAATTCCTCCAGCCTTTTTATGTATCCCTTGTTGGTTGATGATTCAGTCATTGTGTTTTCCGGTTAGTTTTTTATTGTTTCTTGGCTGTTGAGGTTCTTTCTTAATGAAACAAGGTAGGATATTTTGATCCGATGGAAGCTAATGCGAGTATAGTGTGTAAAATGCACCTCCAAAATTTAGAAAAAAGAAAATTGAAAATGTCTTAAATTAAAGGAAGAGTTCCATTCTCGTAACTGTGTATTCTAATTTATAAAATCAGAGTAGTTATGAAACACAAATCCACCCACATAGGTAGAGATAAAAGAGAGCACGACCTAACTTCTTTACCTGTTTGTTGATGTTTTAAGGAAATGAAAGAACGTACCAACTTCTCTAATTGTAATCAATACCCATCAATAAACCCAACTGCCGCGACAGCAGGCGTCCGCGTAATGGCCTTCACCAGAGACATGAAAGATGTCAATCACCAATATTACCACATATCCTACAAGAATAGACTCCTCAAGCTGTAACATCATTAATTTCAAGTCTCTGCTTCCTAAATAGTATGGCAGTAATTTCTTTATCATACAGAGACCGAAGTGCTCGACGAAAAACTTCAAGGGGCCTAAACTTTATACTACCTTGCATCTGGAATATGTCATTCAGACGACATCAATCTTCAGTTTAATAAGCAACTGAGAAGTTGGTTTTCCGGTGAGAGTTATTAAAGCACTGTCATGAGAATATAAGAAATTAAGAACAGTGAAACTAACCATAATTGACTTGGTGATTGTTTCACTCCATAAATAGAGCTCCTTTTTTAGAAATTATCAAGGTCTGGAGGTGGTTTGGTTTCAACTACCATCATAATGAGACCCTATTTCTTGAATTAATTGCGAAGCAAAAAAAGATCATTGTTCGTTTTCTAGAATGATTTGCGCATCATAATTGCACATGCTCCTGCTATAACCGGGATCCTTGCGAACCCGGTTATCACTCATCAGATCTCGTACAACACGTGCATCATCCCATCTTCCCAAAGAAGAATACATGTTGGCAAGAAGCACATAAGAGGCAGAATTTTGTGGGTCCAGTCGATAAAGTTCCTCGGCAGCTCTTTTTGCTAAGCGTAAGTTAGCATGAATACGGCACGAGCTTAGCACAACCTCCCATACAACTGCGTCATCTTTACATGGCATGGTGTCAAGAAAGACTTCTACTTCATGGAATCGCCCTGCTCGGCTCAGACAATCTATGATGCAAGTATAATGATCCAACTTTGGCACCACTCCAAATTTTCGCAGCATGGCATTAAATACTTCAAGTCCTTCATCAACCAAAGACGAGTGGCTACAAGCAGTTAAAACAGCAATAAAAGTAATATCATCAGGTTTCTCACCCGATGAAATCATATCATTATAAAGTACTAGAGCACTGTGACCATCTCCATTTTGTGCATAACCGTGTATCATTTCATTCCATGTAACAGTAGTTTTACTGGGCATCACATCAAAAAAACATCTGGCCCCATGTACATCCCCACATTTGCAGTACATTTCTATTAGAGAACTCCCCACAAATATGTCATCTAGAAAACCATCTTTGGTTATCTGAGCATGAAATAGTTGACCTTGAAATAATGAAGAAAGTTTTGCACAGGAGCTCACTATGGTAGCAAAAGAAAACTCAGAAGGGAAGAAGCCAAGTTGTCGCATCTGTTTGAAGAAAGACAAGGCATCCTGTTCAAGAGCATTGATTGAGAACCCTGCTATCATTGAGTTCCAACATACAATATCTAGTTCAGGAAGTTTACTGAACACATGCTTCGACAACTCCATTTTCCCACATTTGGAGTACACATTAATAAGGCTACTGGCTACATAGACATCATCATAAAATCCAAACTTTTGAGATGCAGCATGAACCTCTTTTCCAGACTCAAGAAGTCCCAATTCGGCACATGAACTGAGAATAATGGCCAAAGTAGTCCGATCAGGATGTTGGCATTGAAACTGCATTTTTCTAAACAGTTCAAGTGCCTCTTTATGATCTGCATTCTGATTATAGCCTGAGAGTATAGCATTCCATGAAGTCAAATTTGGGCATGGTATGCAGTCAAATATTTGACGACCGGTTCTAACGTCCCCAGACTTGACACACGCTGTCAGCATATTTATATGAGTAACATCATCTGGTTCATATCCATCACACTGCATTCTCTGAAGATACTCTGCAGCTTTCTCACTGTTACATCTGCTCCCATACCCAGCTATCATTATATTCCAAGAAACAACACTGTGCTGGTTCAAATTAACAAAAACCGTCTCAGCACTGTCCATGTCCCCAATTTTCGCATACATATCAAGCAAAGAGTTGCATAAATGGAGGTCTCTCTCAAATCCCAGTTTAATTGATAGTGTATGAATTAGTCTTCCTTGTGCATTAGTTGAGAGATCAATATCCCTTTCCCCATTTGCACAGACACCCAATATGCTGGACAAGGAGACAGAATCAACAGGAACCCCTTTTCTCAACATGAGTCTAAACAATTCCAAAGCTTCCTTGACTTGATTTGTCTGAGCTAATCCCCCCATCATGGTAGTAAAAGTAACCTCATTCGGCTCAGGAATGTCCCTAAAAACACGACGCGCATCCACATTAAGCCCACACTTAGCATACATGCACAAAAGAGAATTAACGACATATATATTACTTTCAAGACCAACCTTGATCACAACCCCATGATTTCTCCTGCCACAGTCCGCATCCAACAAAGTACCACAAGCACTAAAAACGGTAGCGAATGTTATATGGGAGGGTTTAACTCTATCCAGCATCATTGAATCGTACGTATCCAGTGCCTGGCGTTCATAGCCACACCGCACCATGGTGCTGATTAAGGTGTTCAGTGAGACGGTATTCCTCTGAGGCATCTGCAGGAACAGGCGGCATGCGTGTTGCAAGTCGCGGGTTTTGCAATAAGCAGCCAAAATAGCGTTCCAGGAAAATATGTTTTTGTGAGGTATATTGTCGAACACGTGGTTGGCAGAGACAATTTCATCGCACTTTGAATAGAATTCAATGAAATGGTTGGAGAGAAAGGTGTCAGAGAAAAGGCGGAGACGGAAGAGTCGAGCGTGAAGAACCTTGCCGGCTAAAAGATCTTTGTTGGTGATACAGAGTTGCACTAGATTTGCCAAATTCAGACTCTTGCTTTTCTCCATCAAAATGCCACGTCCAATGTGGCTCCGTTTGGCTGCAAAATCTATCTTCCTGTTCTTGTTTTGCGAAACAAAAAGCTTTTCAATATGCTTTTCTAGAAAAGCTTCTAAAACAACCACTTTATAATAATCAACACAAGTTTATTTCCATTTCTTAGTTCAACGACATGACTTGGGTCCACGAAGCATGGTTATAGCAAGAATGCAATCACACAAGCATATATCTAGAAAAGCATACAAGCAATGATACAAGAATGCAAGCTTTCTATTCCAATCTTCCATTCCATGATAAGTTCTTTGTCATTAACGTATATGTTATTTTTTTTATAAATAGAATATAAATATAGAAAATTATAATAAATGTGAGAAAAACCTATAAAATAAATGTTTGAGAATAAAATAATTGAAATAAATAAAGTGCAAAACAAATAACAAATAAATATATATTGTAGTGAAACTGAATTATTTGATTGAAAATTACTAAAATGAATTAGTAAAAATATATAATAATTCGTTTATTCATATCGTTTATGTGACTTAGGATTTACCAGTTCATCTTTTGTGAACTTCATGAATTTTTGTTTTAATTTGAAAAAAAAAACTAATTTTCTCTAGTTTTCGTAATTTTAAAATTTAAAATCACCCTCAATTATAGGATAAGGATAATTTATATATATAAATTAATCACATTATATCGCACCGGACAAAACTTTAAAGGCTCACGTTGACTTTTGGTCAAACAGCCTAAAAAACTATATTTATTTTTTAAAATTTTGGAAATAACAAAAATTTATACGAAACAAAATTAAAATCTTAAAATAATAAAAATATATTTAAAGGCTAGACTTTGTTAATGTTAATTCGGTGTAAACATTGGTTTTATTGTGTCTGTGAAATTAAAGATTTTGTTAGTTAGATGTGTAGGAAAAAGAAAAATTCCAGCGTAGTCGGAGATGAGACGGACGAATGTGGAACAGTGGGTGCTTCGCATTTCTCGCACAGACCCCGCAAATCTCTCGTCACTCTTTCTTTCCATCCAACCATTTTTCCCATGATCAAATAAACTCTTTCTTCTTTTTTCAGTTTTCCCTTAATGTCCCTCCCTCCCTTCAACCTCCAGCTTTTCCTCTGTGCACAACATAACAACAATCAAAAACATTTTCTTTTTGCTTTCCATTTCAACAGACAAGCAAGAAAATTCTCCTGCATTGTTGTTGATGTTGTTGTGCCCTTCTGTTTTCATTGCAGGAAATTCTCCCCATGGTTTTAGCATTTTCACCCCTCAAAGGTTAAGGAATTTGAGCTCTTTTCCTTCATTATTTTTCATCTAACTCCTTTTCAATTGAATTGTCCACCCTCTGATTTGGGAATCCCTTCCTTGTTTGTTCTTCCTTGGTTATACATTTCCTGTTCATATATTCATTTAAAGTGCTTGATTTTCAAAATGTCAAGCCATTTGGTATTTCAGTCCCTGTTAAGTTTTTGCAATCTGGGGAGTCTGGAGATGTAAAGCATTGAATTCCTGTTACGTGTGAAACAAGTCAATACACAACATTGACTTCGTTGGTGATTTTCCACTGGCATGTTCGTCTTTGTTCTCAATAATAAAGGGTACCCAATACAAGTTTTCACGGTAAATGGCTACTTGATTAGAGGAATTAGAAGGGTGGGAGCTTCCGGGTTCCCAAGAAAATACAAGTGTACCCAGTCGCTTAACAACGATAGCAAGTTTGACAAGAGGTAGTGATTTATTGATTGATTGGAGCAACAAAGCAATAACACCCCTTTTGAATATGGGGTGCATCTGCTCAAAATACTCCTCAAACGAAGACAAAGTTGACGAAAATGAGAAAGAAAAAGAAGAAGAGCCGAACAAGTCTTCAGTACAACTGGTTGCTCCTTGTGTCTCAACTACACAGTTAAATATTATTAGCAAGAATGGTTTGGTGCCCCGAGTGGTTAATTCATCATCACAAGCGATTACAGGGACTGCCAAAGTGGCATCAGAGGACAAAAGCAACCACTTAGATGCCACAAAAAGCCAGCACCAGAGTTGCATCACAGTGGGTAGTGGTGTAGATGACAAACTGCCCATGATGAGCAGAATACTCAGCGTGCAACATATTGCAGGAAAGCAAGTTGATTTCGGATGGCCACTGTGGTTATCTTCAGCGGCTCCAGAAGCCATCAAAGGGTGGGTGCCTCGACGGGCAGACTCTTTTGAAAAATTAGACCAAGTTAGTTTCAAAATATCACTTCTTCATGCCACTCCTTTTGTTTCAAAATGTTTCAACTAATTTTCATGCAACCTTTGTACAGATTGGACAAGGGGCTTATAGCAGTGTGCATAAAGCTCGTGACCTTGAGACTGGTAAAATAGTGGCTTTGAAGAAGGTTCGCTTCTCCAGTGCAGATGTAGAAAGTGTTCGGTTCATGGCAAGGGAAATCTATATTTTGCGTCAACTTGACCATCCTAATGTCATGAAGCTCGAGGGTCTTGTCACGTCAAGAACGTCCACCAGTTTGTACCTTGTATTTGAATACATGGAGCATGACCTTGCCGGGCTATCAACTTTTCATGGCTTGAAGTTAACTGAACCACAGGTGCATGCCCTGCCTGATAAAACTTAAACGTACTTCTAACATAGCTACTATTTTTTAACAAATTTCTAAGGAGTTAATAATAATTACCTTGAGTGGATTCTGCCCACAGACAGCTTTGCTTTCTTTTTTAAACCAGTGAGATTTAAGGTGCCTTCTAGTTAAACAATAAATTGAAGTCACGTTGTGGTTAAGGGAAAGAAGTTTGGATGTATTAAATTATGGCTAAATTGGCTATTGACAGAATGGTGAAAAGGTAGAAAAGGAAGAAATTTGTAACTTGTTTAGCAAAATGAGTGGTAAGTTTTTTTTAGCTGAATGTTGTTCATTTATTTATTTGTTGGCTTTGCAGATAAAATGTTTTATGCAGCAACTGCTTCGTGGGCTTGAACATTGCCACAGTCGGGGTGTGCTGCACCGTGACATCAAGGGCTCAAATCTTCTGATTGACGACAAAGGAAATCTTAAAATTGGAGATTTTGGTCTTGCAACAGTCTATGATCCTGAAAAAAAGCAGCCATTGACTAGCCGTGTTGTGACTCTATGGTATAGGGCACCTGAGCTTTTGCTAGGTGCTACAGATTATGGAGCTGCAATTGACTTGTGGAGTGTTGGTTGCATTCTAGCTGAAATGCTAGTGGGGAAGCCGATCATGCCTGGAAGAACAGAGGTATTTTTCATGAATCAATATGATTAATGTGCCTCGTAATTAGTTCTTATATTGAAATGGTGCCGTTTTTCTGAATTTTGTCTACTTATGTCATTTGATTTAACATTTTCTGACTACATGCTGTGGTGTGTGCTATTCTTCCTAATTCTACTCTTTTTGAGCCCTGTTTTTAGTTTATATGTTCGAGTAAAATCAGAGAGTAAAAACTGCAGAGATTACAATCTAGAAATAAGTCCCATTGTGGTAGAAGGTTCCCTAGCCAAGTAAACAAAAGAGCATAATACTTACACAAACAGAAAGAATGGCATAACTTTGAGAATGATTTAATATATGCAGGTGGAACAAACACACAAAATTTTTAAACTTTGTGGTTCGCCATCTGAAGACTACTGGCGGGGAACAAAATTTCCTCATGCAACAAGCTTTAAGCCACAACAACCTTACAACCGCCAAGTTTCAGAAACATTTAAAAAATTTTCTTCCTCGGCATTGGCTCTTGTTGATAGGCTCCTATCACTAGAACCAGAAAATCGAGGATCAGCAACTTCCGCACTGCAGAGTGAGGTAATGCTGTCAAGCCTTTTATTCTTTTCTCAAACATTCTTTACATGAAAATTAATACTGTTTTTATGCTGTTATATAAGTACTTTTAATGCTTTATTAAATGAAAACATGTAACAGCTATTTAAAACTACAAATGTAACAGTTCGTCAATGAAAGTACAACTATTATAAATCTGTTAGTGTTGTCCTTTCTAGAAGTAAACTTTCCTGAAATTGCATCTTGTTGGTTGTCATCACCATAAAAAAAAGTGCACTTCACAATCGGAACTCGTAATTACTTTTGTTTGCCACTGAAAAAGCCTATTTAAAAGTTTCAATTTAATTAAGAGCCCCAACTAACAGTCTTTTACCCCCTTATATTCTTTTAGTCTTTTCCGAATGTAGCTTTTCAAAGTGATGATGTTCTATTTACTACTACTGTTTTGGTATCCTACTAACCACATTACTGGTCATGTTGGATATCTGCCAGTTCTTCACTACCAACCCCTTACCTTGTGATCCCTCAAGTTTACCAAAGTTTTCACCAAGCAAGGAGTTTGATATCAAGCGTCGAGCAAAGGAAGCTACAAGGTATTATTAGTTTTATTTTCCTAGATATTGAAGATACTGATTGATTAATTAACAGTCTCATTGACAATTTTTTTGCATGTTATGTTACAGAAATACATAATTTACATCCTTCTCTTGTTAAGTAGATTTTATGGTCGTAATAATTTTTTCTTCATTAGCCATTAGTACCATTTTCCTTGGTGGAAACATGGTAAGAGCTAAATATCTCCCAGCCAAAAAAAAATATGAAAGTAACATAACTATATGATAACAATGACCAAATTCTGATGGAGATACATGTTTTAATGGAAGCCAAGAAAGACTGTATAAAAGCATTTGCATCCTATTAAAGATTACCTGAATCCAACGTTGTTTTGGTACCATTTAATGCTGTGATTAGAAGTGCCATATCCACATTCACAGAACTTCACCTTTATTTGTAATCAGGAAAAACTTGGAAGCTGTTAAAGGACGTGCACCAGCATCTGTTTTAAGGGGACCAGGAAATACCAAGGGACTGGGTTCACCAGAGTATTACCCTCAAGGAAATATATCTATGCGGGTATGTCTATGTCCATGGTGATTAATTATTATTGGGAATTTTATTCGATTCTGATGGCCATGAGTACTTCAACATGTTCAGGACAAACCAAATAGTAGAATGCCCCATCATAAATATCAAACCCAGGAGGATGGGGAATCCAACGAGAAGGGTGAAGGAAACAGCGTAAGTATACACGGTGGCTACAAGCATTCTGTTTCAATGATGCACTGCAGTGTAGCACGATCATCCACAGTGAGTAAGAGACTAGAGTCTTTGAAGAATCAGAGGTCTCATTTGAATCAGGAAACAACAGATTTATGTACCTCTTTCGTGAAAAAGGAACCAGACTCGTCTGCGCTTGAATCCGCCACGGTAAACAACAACCTACCTTTTCTTCGTTATGGTATACAAGGTTTGCAACTTTTCAATACTCACAGAGCCAACCATGTGCTAGTGAAGTTGTACACAGATCCGACCAACATGTACTAAATTTGGTTCCTTAAAAGGTTTAAGGTTTGAGTATTGTGAATGTTAAAAACATGATTAGGAGAGAAAATCCTACTAGAAATAGGTAGTTAGATTTTCTTATAGAGATTGATCATTAGCAAAATGTATTGCTATTTCATTCAAAAAACAGATCTTAAAAAGAAGTAAATTTCATCTACATACATTAGGCGCATCCAGTTTTTTATATACCTGTTGTGTTGTGATTTCAGGATCATATGCCGAAGAAAAATAGGATACACTGCTCTGGACCATTGATGCCACCGGGTAGCAACATTGATGACATGCTTCGAGAGCATGAGAAATTAATGCAAGATGTTTTCCGTAGTGTCAAAAAGACCAGTCTGTAAAAACCTACCATTCTACTCAAAAGGGACTGCAATGTAAAATCATTAAGGAAAAGAAACTCCGTTGTTTCTAATGGCAAAAGGCCAAACATGTACTGTGCACTCTTAACTATTCATTGTTTGTGATGCCAAGGTATATTTTCATCACTGGTGTTTTTCATTGGTCAGGGCTTGTTGCCAGATACACACACAATCAATCATTTTTTATCCACCATTGTCAACTGAATGGATTAGTAAAGAAGACCAAACAATAATATATATATATATATATATATATATATATATATATATATATATATATATAAAAGATAAAAAAAAACATCAATTCTATTACATGCATGATAAATATTAGTTTTTTCTACCTATCAAAATGGGTACACTCTAAAAAATTTACAGATTTAGATAAAAAAGACAGAGAAATAATATTTCAAGATTTTTGTTTTTAAATAAAAAAAAAATAACCGTTCTAGATAATACGACATTTATATAAATTTATAAAAATTGTATTATACTTTTAGTTTTATATTATAATAATAATTATTACATTATTATAATTAATAATAATTTATTTATATTATTATAAAAATTATTATTTATTTTATTATTTTTATAAATATTATAATAATAATAAATAATATAATTAAAATTATAAATATTATTTTATTATTATTAATATTAAAATAATAATAAGAATAATGATAAATATTAGAATTATAATTATTAGTATAATTATCTTATTAATAATATTATTTTTATTAATATAATAATTGATAAAATTAATAACATTAAAAATTTTAATATTATTAATTTTATTATATAATCTTTCATTATGAATATTATTTTTTTATTATTAATATTATATTAAAATAGTAATAATAAATAAGAGAATTATAATTATTAATTTAATTGTATTATTTTAATATTATTTTTATTAATATAATTATTTTATTATTAATATTTTTATTAATATAATTATTAATACAATTAATAGTAATATAATTATTGATATAATAATTACTAATGTAAATTTATTTATTATTATTATTATTATTATTATTATATAACGAATCATTATTAATAAATTATATTATTATTGTATATAATAATAATTTATAAATAATATAAATTTATGTATTATTATTATATATTAATAATTATTATATTTATTACTAATATTATTTTATTAATAATCATTCTTTATTAATATTACTTTATTATTATTACTAGTATAATAATGATAAATGAATAATAAAATTATAGTTATTAATATAATTATCTTATTGTTAATATTACTTTTATTTTATATAATTATAATGTATTATTATTATTATTAATACTTTTTTTAATAATAAAATAAAAATAATATTAATGATTATAATTATAATATTTTTAACAATATTATTATTAATTTAGTATTACAAATAATAATATAATTTTATTAGAAATAAGAAAATAAATAATAATTTTAATAAGAATATAAATTTTATTATTATTATTATTTATTTTATTATTATTAATATAAACTATATTATTATAATTATAATAATATAATAAAAATTATTATAATATAAAATTAAAAATCATAATAAATAGTATGATTTTTTATATAAATTTATAAAATTATGGTAATTTAAAAAAATAAAAATCATATGTGAATTTTTTAAAATTTTAAAGAGTTATTTAAATTTATAATTTTTTAAAATTTATCCATTTTAATAAATTTAAAAAAATTATACGAAATTGTAAAATAACCAAAATATTATCAAATGTTTTAGGTATACTTGAACTCCAGTGTCACAGTAGCTGGTCATACTACACTATTTCTCATTTTTTATATTTTTTTAGATAACAGTTTTATTTGCAAAACACACATTTGTTAGCTGATCATATTAACTGTTTCTCTTCTTTTTTTCAATATTTATTAAATTTCAGTCTTATTTGTAACTGGTTTTTTTAAGAACTCTGCAACATTATCTTCGCCTTTTTTTCCCTCGTTTATTTATTTTCTGCAGTTTTAAGTGTCACATTAGAAAACTAAAATAAAATATCTTATTACTAATTTAAAGATTTTACAAGGTGAAATGAAGTTCGAAAATATGAAACTTGACTCACTTTATTTTATTTTGAAAATATTTATTAATTTATTAATGGTATGTCTTTAAATTAGTTATGTAATTTATAATTTTAAATTTATTAAAATTATTTTATTAAATATTATTTTATTAATTATTTTTTATTTATTATAATATCATCACATGTTTTAAATAGTCTATTTATTTTTATTTTTACAAATTAAAAAAGATTTGAATTGAAATAAAGATGTGGAATAAAAAGAAGAGAATGAAGAATGAAAAAGATAATAACGATGAAATAAATAACTAATTTTAAATATTTTAAAATTGAATGAATGAATTTGAAAAAACTATAAAGATTTAAGGAATTATTTTATTTATTATCTGTTTAAATTGAGATTTGACACTTATACCCACGCACACTCACTGAACAAAACTAACAAGAGTTTTACCCTAAAACCCAAGCACTGGGAAGCAGAGTTAGTGAAAATGGAGCAGAGACTAGCGAACAGTTGGCGAATGCCTCTCAACGACAACAAATTCATCGAAGCCGCTCTTCTTTCTGACCTCCGTGTCGACGGACGCCGCCCCTCCGACCACCGCAAGCTCACCATCAAGCTGGCCCAGCAAGACGGTTCCGCGGAGGTCCATTTGGGCCAAACCCACGTCATCACCTTCGTCACAGCTCAACTCGTTAGGCCCTACAAAGACAGGCCCAACGAGGGCTCCCTCTCCATCTTCACCGAGTTCTCTCCAATGGCTGACCCTTCCTTCGAACCCGGCCGCCCCACCGAGTCCGCCGTCGAGCTTGGCCGTGTCGTCGACCGCGGCCTTCGCGAAAGCCGTGCCATCGACACCGAATCGCTCTGCGTCCTCTCCGGCAAACTCGTCTGGGCCATTCGCGTTGATATCCACATTCTCGACAATGCCGGAAATCTCGTTGACGCCGCCAATATCGCCGCGCTGGCTTCTCTGTTGACGTTCCGCCGGCCGGAATGCTCGATGGCCGGAGAAGACGGCCAGGAAGTGGTGGTGCATCCTCCCGAACAGCGCGATCCGATACCGTTGATTATACATCATCTTCCGATTGCTGTTACGTTTGGATTTTTCAGCAATGAAAATCTCCTCGTACGTATTCCTTTTTCTCTTTCTTTCTGATTTTGATTTTGGAGTGTTTAGTTAGGGTTTAGGGTTTAGGGTTTATGTGCGTAGGTGATAGATCCGACGAATGAAGAAGAGTGTGTGATGACGGGACGCATGACCGCCACGCTTAATTCAAACGGCGACGTTTGTGCGATTCAGAAGGCTGGGGGAGAGGGTGTCTCTCAGAGAGTTATCATGCATTGCTTGAAACTTGCTCATTCTAAAGCTATTGATATTACAACTAAGATTAAGGAAGCTGTGAGTTCTCTTTTCTTGCATGCTATTGATTCACTTGTTTAATTGTCATATCAAGTGCGTAGTTTATGTTGTGTGTTTTGATTAGGTTGAAATACACAACAATGAGAGGGCCTTACGGAAGATTAAGCGGCACACTTCGTCTGTCGCCATGGATGTATGTGGTGCTACAGCTGGAATAGGTGAAAAGCAAAATCAATTAGTTGGTGATAAGGATGGTAGTAGTTTGGATAAATTGAAGCTTAAAGAAGAGGAATCTTTTATGGAATGTGAAGCCACACCATCAGGACAAGAACAGAGTAAGGATGGAGTCTCGAAGAATTTCACCGGTGGTCCTTCAAGTTGGTATGATATCAACTATTCCAAGAGCTAGTTGTTTCAACCCCAGTCCATTTTTTACTGCTAGAAATATAGTGCAAATGCAGAGAAATTATTGTCGGCTTGTATACAAAGAGAATGAAATTAGTAATTACTGTTTACAAGTAAGGTGTTCAAAGTCTATTTTTCATAGATTCGACTCAACTCTTATGGCAAAACAATAATTCAACTCTATAACAAAACAAAGTGGCAAACCACAGCAAATGAAGTATTGGTGTTTTTCAGTGCTCAAGAAGATCAAACTGCATAAATCATTCATGAAAACATACTTTCCTAAAGTGAAAACATTTCATTAAAGAATTTTTTTTTTCAAATAATCGTCCTAGTTCAACAATATCATTTTGAGGTGAATGAGACAATAATTATATTTGATTTTAAACTTGCTGACTCAGTTCATGAGTTGCATGAATTTATGAAGTTTGACAACAAATTAACTTACTTTCTCATAAACTTGTAGGACTTTACAAATTAACTTGAGATTTTAACAACCTTTCCACTTCCGTTCTTAGGTTTGGGTATCTTAAGAAGAAAATAAGTATACTTATTCTTTTAAATTTAATAAAAATGCATTTTATATCTTCACACCATTGTTCCTTCAGGGATCCCTACTCAGAGTGTGTCAATCCAGATCTTCTAAAAGCTTCTCTAGCTTCTCGAGGTAATAACTTCTCTTTCATATTAGCAGTTATGTGATTTGTGATTGAATTACTGGCTTTGTCTATGTATAAAATCTGTATTGGTTTATATGCCTCTCATTACAATAGCTGTATAATGTGCAGGATCATCCGTTCCTAGTAAACAAAAGGCTTCAAGACTTGAGGCTAAGCCCAAGGAACCACAACAGGAAATTAAGACAGATTCTTCAACAGTTGACAAGACTCTAACTAGTGGCCAGAGCGACGAAGGTAAGAGTAAGACTCTGAAGGATGCCGTCAAACCCAAACATAAGAGAAAAAAAAAATTATCTTCCAATAATGAAAATTAAATCAGTTTTTGACTCGTCACCATTCACCTTCTGTTCTTGTGCTTGTATACCTACTGAACTGAAAAGTGAGTTCTTGTTCCCATTTTTGTGAGAAGCAACGGTTTCATGTTTTGGGGAGAACGTCTGTTTAGGGCATTATGAATAGGAAAGTTGTCTGAACTTTAAAGTCT